TTGAAATCCTTGGGGGAGCGGTAGAAGATAGCCGTTAAATCTTCATTGTAAACGGTTCGAGATAGCCGTGGTGAAATCTCGGAGTGAATCCTATTGGCAAGGGTTGTTTGCCAAACTAGTGCGGTGCTTTGACGGAGTTCAAGAGGCCGGAACTTAGTGGATTCGGAAATCCTTGAGGAGGAGCCTCGAGGTACTGGAGTAGGGAGTTCCCGAACCAGTATAAAATCGGTGTGCATTTTATTTACGCTTTTATTTCTGCGTTTTATATATTGCTTCCGCATTTGCCAACACCGTTTTTATTAAACTCCGAAAAGATTTTCAACGCCTTATTCACCCCCCCCTCTAAGGCGTGGGCACAACGATTAAACCGACTAACACTCCATACGTCTAAATTTAAATTGTCTGTTTCGGTTTACGATGTTTGAGTAAAAATGGTGTAAAATTAAAAAATAAAAACTATATATTTAAAAACAACATCAAAAAAATTACAAAACTTGTAGTGACATGACCATATTATTTTATCAAATGACTAATGAAAATATGGAAACAAACTGAATAAAGTTTAACCCTGTCAATAGTAAATATGTAATCTAATTTGGGATGGAGGCAATAGTAAAGATTTTTACTACTCAGTTAGGGTCCGTTACGTTTCACTTATTTTTTAGCTTATTAATTACTTATTCTTATTAAATTGAAATCAGATTCAATCAGCTAATTAATTACTTCTTCTTATTACTTTAAAATCAGATCAGAAATAATTTTAAATATAGCTACAACCATGTCAGGTTATATTCAATCAGATCAAACAAAGGAATACAACCTTAGTATGATACGAAGTGTCAGTTTAATAAATTTTAAATTGACTTGTAATAGTTTAGTTATTCAATAATTTTTTTTAAATACTTCATTGACTGCCCAAATTGCTTTCCTTGCATTTGGCTCATCTTGCCTTCCCGCTGTCGTGAGCAGATCCATTCCGATCAGAAATGACACAAACGCGTTGATCGTTCCATATTCAATTTGTTCGAAACTCAAGTATTCTGCGTCCCAAACGGTGAGTGGCTTCTCCATCGCCACCCCCAAAACTTGCATCGTCATCTTCTTCAACCCTATCTTCACAAATGCCTCAGAGCGGTAAACTAGAAAAGTCTGAAAATCTTAGAAAACATTGAAAAAAAAACTTGGCATAGATTTCATATTTGTAAAATTTCAATTTACTCTTAAGAAATAAATTACATATACTTCACTTGTTTTAACTTTGTCTTTTTGTTTGTGTATCATGTATTTAATAATTTTGTGTAATTCACTTCCATTCATTCATATACTCTGTATAAGAAAAGATTTTATACACCACAAAGTTTATCAAGTTAAAAACATAAAGATAATTTTAAAATGTGCAAAAACAAATTGTCAATCTTCACTTTCAAACATGAGGGAATATAAACTTTATTATTGTTTAACTCGTTAATGCCTGCATCCACTTATTCTTTCATTAATTTGGAATAATTAGTAACAAAATGAAAATTGTTTTAGGATTGGAAGAGTTATACAATTAAAGGTACATACATTGTTTTCATAATATGCATGTTCTAAATAAATGTGCTCAAAATGAGTATTCTTTAACTTGTAAACGGGCGTACAATAAATACCATAATCCAGGCATACGATACAAGAACTCAACAATACAACTAAACCAACAAGATTTTTGTTAATTTTCCAAACTTTATTTTTAATGTAACAAATAATGCAACGAATTTATTATTTTTAAGAGTAAAAATAAAAAAGAAAAAAATCAACCTCCAAGTAGAGAGGAAGCCAAAATTTAACTCGCATCAATATGCAGAGAAACTGAAAGAGAAATAAAATAATTTAAGCTACCTTGGATTTAGACTTCTGCTTCTTTGGATCCATCGATGCCAAACCAGTGCCTAATCCAATCGGGACCGGGTCGGGTTTCGGTTGGTCGCCTTTAACCTCCGCGGGCGTGTTTGAAGACTGCCCGTTCTTTGTTCCTGCATTGGACCCTTCGGTTTTTAGAGCAGATGATGTGTTGTTCCCGGAGCTTATCGCGTTGAGTAATTCAGAAAGTGGGCCCTGCCCAGACCGGGCGGCATTAGGGCGTAGGTGAAGACCCCTCGCAGCGGCTTTCTTCCTTGCTTCCACAGCTGCTCGGGCAGCTCGTTCGTCGACTCCCCTGCCCCCTCTAGGGGCTACAGGTGCAGCAGCATTCAGAGATTGCTTCCCACCGGCAGCTTGAAATGCTTGTATTAGACTTGGATTCGCCTGCTTTTTTTGGGGAGTAAAATGTAATTTTTTTTGGCATTAGAAACCCAGAGTGAATAAAAAAATAAAAAAGAAAAGGGTTAAGTGCATCAATCACAAAAGCGATTCGCCTGCAAATTGACTCCAGAAAGTGTAATTTGCTTAAAAAAATTCGGGTGAACATAAATAAAATTAGGTGTCAAAATGTAACATTGTTTTTACAAACGTCAAAAGTACCATCAAGATGTCATAAGCTTTGTGAGCCGAAGCAGCTGCATTTAGAGCTTGGTCCCTCTGCTTTTGAGCATTCATCTGTTAAAAAGTTTGCATTTAAAGGCCGATTGGAAGTGAATATTAGATGAAATAGCTAAATTCGCTCGGAATAATCTAAAATACAAACACACACACACACACATTTTTAATAATTGAAATGAAATAATAACCTAAAAGAGGCATGCTAGAGGTACACCAAAATGGGGTACCCCATTTTGGTGTACCCCTCAGTTTATTCTAACTAAAATAGAGGACAGAAGGGAATCAACATTCATTTCAGCATAAAAGGAGCAAATTACCTTCACCTCATTCATCTTAAATGTTTTCATGTATTCCTGAGACTCCTTCATCCTTAAATCATCCTCTCCAAGTTGTTTTGCAAATACATCAAATGTCTTCTTTTCATGCTGTTTTAAATTCCCCGAATTTGTAATCCCGAATCACCAAACAAAATTTTTAAAAAGAGGGCAAAATCTCAAAGTCAAATGGATACCTGGTACGCCAGCTTAAAAGCACCCATGGAATTAAACACGATTGCCAGTGCATGATAGCAGAAAGCAGTTTGAATATGATCTTCTCCTAGGAGCCTCTCATTCTTCTTTAAAGCTTCTTGTAGGTACCGAAGAGCAGTATCTACTTTTCTAATATCTTGGTACATCATAGCAATATTTATAAATGTTGTTGCAACATCAGGATGGTCGGGACCACAAGACAGCCCTAGAAGAAGTAATGCCCTTGACATATGCCGCAAGGCAAGCTCCGTTTGGTTAAGTCCGTGGTAGAAAATAGCCATTGTTCCATAACTGAAGTAAAAAACATTAGCCAAATCATCAATCAAAGCAAGTTTAATATTTTATAGAATTCATGCATTCATATATATACTACCTCCATAAATAAATAGTCATTGTCCCTTTGGAACATTTCACAAATTAAGAAAACTCTAAAATAAAGGGAAGGAGTAATAACCGTGAGACTAGTACTCCCCTCTTTAATGTACTCCCTCCATCTCCATAAAAATCAGATTTTCCTTTATTGTCCATTCCAAAATAAAGTTCCTCTTTCTTTTTAAGAAAAGGTTTGTCAGGTTCATATTATGTCCTTTTCCTTTAAATAAGTATCAACCACACATTCATTGTTCTGGATAAGTGTGCCAAGTCAAACCAAAAACCATTTTTCTGGACGAAGGGGGCATTTATAAAGAATGTTAGAAATTGTACCATCATAATATGTTATAGAAGGATAAACATAGCAAATATAATTAATGAAAACTTGAAAGTGAAAAGCAACTTATTAGGGAGAACAAGAATAAAGAATTAACTACTCTCTCTGACCCTATTTGATTGTCTCATTTTGACTTTGATTAAGAAAGGTAAAATTGTGTGGTTGAAATGAATGCAGATGAGAGAGATTATATGGACCACACCATTATTACATTAAATAGAAATGAGAGAGAGTAAAAAAAAGTGGGACAATCAAAAGGGGCAAAAAGAGCACTATTTAAGAAAGGAGAAAGTAGGCAATTTTCCAATCCCATAGAAGACTTGGTGTTCAAAATTATACTTCAGAATCTAAATACTACTGGAAAACTGTCTTCCAGGTAAAAGATAATAAAATCGAGCATAAATGGAGTTCAACTTGATTAAAGAAACAAATGCTTTTTGGGGTATCTTCGGAAATTAGGTAATAAAAGGGGAGGGGATGGTCGATTTTTCCATTTTGAGAAACTGGTACTTTAACGTGATAATTTTTCAAAAAAGAGAAGATATGAAATGATAAATTAGTACAATTCTAGTCATTTAATTATTTAAATTCTCTTGATTTAAAAATAAAATCCCCCCCCCCCCCAAAAAAAATCTATATGCCTGTAAGGATTTTGTTGAAATGCATGCCCAAAAATACAATTCTCCTAGTTTCAAAATATGCCTGTAAGGATTTTGTTTCTGTAAAAAAGAATCAAAATTGTACGACCTATCTTATTCTCATTTCTGACCTAATCATTATCTATATGCCTGCCTCTAGGGGCAATTATACCTGATCTAGTGCAACCACACACAGCTAGTGTAACTGTAATAGGCAGAAAATATTGAGGCCTTCATAACAAGATATTTAAAGAATGTTGCGTGTTGTCAACAGGTAACAGGTAACATGAAACATACAGTAATAAAATAGATGGATTTCTGAATTTGATAACAATAATACCTTTTGGCAGTGTCAGGGTGATCCAGTCCAAGGCAGCGTTCATTGATGATAAGTTCCTTGTGAAGTTGCATTATTGCTCCTGCCATATCCCCTGCTTCATACATGACCGTGGCTAGATATCTGGAATGCAAAATAAAAGGGAGGAGAATATATTGAGAGAGAAGAGGGGATGCAAAGGAACACCTAGTTAATCGTACTGATGTAAATACCTCCATTTAACATACTTGGCATTGAATTAAATATTCACTAGTCACTACTAGTTTATTAATAAATGGAGGTAATAAAAAATTTATGACATTAGACAAATAGGTTGTTTAGGCATAGCTATTACCGACAACAGTTGGCAACTTCCCGATGCATCGGACCAGTGACCTGCATGTGGTGAAAAAACAGGGATAATTGATGATAACTGCAACCAAAAAGGAAGAGCAACATACAAGATAGCCAATCAATTAACAAATATACCTGCTGAAAAATTGTAAATGCTTCAAAAAATAATGTGTAGGCCTCACTAAGCAGCCCCTGAAAATAAATAACAAAGATTTTAAGAATATAATATAAATATATAAATCTTCATTGTCATTTATAAGGAATATCATGTTCTCAATTTCCTCCCCATATATGAGGGCTGTGCTACGAAATGTTGCTTACAACTGTTTATACCTCAGCTAATTGCGCTTTTCCTGTTTCCACCAGATTCTTGGCTTTTGAACTGATAGGGATAGAATGCTTCACGACTGGTAGGAGATCCAAAATATCAGTTGCTTGAAAAGGTGTGGCAGCATCAAGATCATATTTGCGAGCTGCAATGGTTACTCCAACCTGTAAAATAAAGCTGCAGTCAGCAAAATCTCAAGTGATAAATAACATTAACCAAATCTATATTATGAATTGAAAGAAGTAAACAGTTGAATATATAAAATTTAAAATAAATTTCAGCCAAACAGTGATTCAGATATTCAAGAGTTACCTTTAGGCAAAGATTGCGCAAAATTGGAATTGTCTTTACCCGTAATCTCGTATCATCGGGAACCTCAAACTGAAAATTTAACAATTATGATCTTATTACAACAGACATCAATGTAATAGATAACAATTTGCATAATTTTGTAATATCTTTATACCTGGTACTTGAGTTTTGAAAATTCTTTGATGTCAGACCATAGACTATCAGAAGTGAGATTCATGAACGAAGATTGCTTCCTTCTTGCAGGCACCACACGTTTATTACTCGCCTGGCCCTTGGAAAACTTCCCTGAAGAATGATGGCCCTGAACAATTTAATTGAGTTTAGACTTTCATAAAGTTCAAAACATAACACTACATCATGACTAAAAACATTTGTCCCTTTAATAGATAAAACTCACACGCTCCCAGCATTCTTGTGCTTGGATTCACATAAGGATAAAATACATCATCATATTATGTATCACACGCTATTATAATGTTTACCTTTTTGTTTCTAGAATGCACAGAATTTGTTCGAACTTCAGTAGATACTATTTGGATGTTCCCAATGAAACAGTTCAAAAAATGTGAGATTGCACTTCCAAGGTCATGGTCTTCTGTATCTCTCAAGAAATCCTACAAGTCCAAGAGATGTGTTAACAACTTACTATAAATTTTTAATTTCAAAAAGCATTTCAAACAATAATAGTACATCAATAGTTCTAATACTAGTCACTAACAGCTTAACATATGAGAAAAGCTAATCAAACATTACAAGAAATGCAGTCCTCTGGAGTTCAGCATGAAAATGAGTTACAACGGAAACTTGAAGTGGGACAACAAAACAGGGATTCAAACTAGCAATCGTACACAAGCGCAAATAGGTTTTGGGCACTAGGAGAAGAAGATCACCATGAAGATGTGTTTTGCTGATCTAATGACAACTTCATTAGAGCAAAGATCCCATAAATGAGAGAAATGCCTAGTTCCCTCAGCAACCTGGATAAATCAGCTAGAATAAATTAAAGAGTAACCAGAGTAATTTCTTTTTACTAATAAAATGAATTTGAGAAATTATAGGCCAAGTACAGAGGTAGTACAAACAATACCTCATCTCGCAGAAACAAATTGCAGAGATACATGACCCTATGATTCTTAAGAAAACTGAAAAAGTACTAGGAGTTTCTTGCCTTTCCCAAATAACGTAAATTAATCCCATGGGCATGAAGTGCATCAGTTAAAGCATTCCCATCGATAGGTGAGATTTCAAGTGAGCAAAGGTCGTGTATAAATTTGGGAAGCACGACATCCTTAAGATACAAACTCGCTTTCTTCACAAGTTCTTCGTCAGCAGCTATGTCCTGGTGAAATTAGTTGAAGGCAGAATGAATTAGGAAACCCAAAAATAAGAGACTAGAGGAGATAAAAATATGGAAAAGTCCTGCCTCCTTTTTCCCGGCCAACTTGAAATCTGTAAAGACATTAGGATTAAATAGTATCTCCTCAGGTGTAGCTGTGTTCTCGGTCTGAGAACCGCAATCATTGACACTGTTATTTTCAATTATATTTTCCTGCAGGAAACCAGAGCAGTTCATATAAAAACATCAGGAAAAAAATTTACTGCTTTGTGGAATACTACGTATGAAAGTATGGTGGATAACATTTTCATATTGGGAGCAAGGTAAAAAAAACATCACATTGGCACATAAGACATCCATGTTAAGTGTTAACAAAAAGCTCAATGCTGATTATACACAACGACACAACTGATAGATCAATAGAAGCTTTAATGTCACTAAATGCACAGAGCAACAGCAAGCAAAAGGCGTGAAATCTCTATATTGCTTCCAGGGTTAATAAAACAGGTGTCACATGCAATCATACATGATTGACCATTCACTCTCCCAGTTTCAAATCCTATTACACCTACAGAACCAGTTTTAAAAGGCCTTTGCCAAGCTCCAGGAATGTTCTACTTTTTCTTTTACCGCTGATTGATGTGAACTTATTCAGTGGAATTTTTTGTTGACCTCTTTGCCGCCAAATATAGACCAATTTTTCTCTTTTCCTTAAAATGTTATTATTACTATTATTGCTTTGAAGATATTTAAATAAGCATGGTGAACTTCAAGTACATACTACACTCTCCTTACTTCACGTTTACCATATTTGGTTCTCCCTAAATAAACTACACCTTTCCACTTCAGGAAATGCACATGTAGTTGCTTTTGTTTTTTATTGTAAAATAAAAAGTACTAAAAGTTTCTCTTTCCACAAGTAATGTCGGAGTGTTGCAAGAAAGAATTCAGTTCATAATCCTGGCTTAAATAATTACGAAGGAAAATGATTACCTCCTTGACGACTAGGCTTGAGGAATTGTCCTCAGTTTTGAGCATCTCACCAACACTGCTTGCATTTAAGGAATCATTAGTCTCTTGAACCCCTTCCCCTTCAGCCTTGCCTTTTGATCTTGACCTATCTGTTGCTTCATACTGTTTTATTTAAACATAATAATTACAAATAAATGTGTATATATTTAAAGAAATAAATAAGAGTACACATGAAATTATACAAATAATATAGGAGTAATTGTTGAAGTTCAACTACTAACTTGGCAAAATGCAGTTATCAATTCAGGTCTCAAAATACAAAATCTGGAGCCTGGACGAATACAATTGGCATCACGAGGTGTGGCTCTCATCAGGTCCAATATATAATGCCTGGTTGCCAATGTTGTAAGAAAAGAAAATACTTAATATCTAACTCATGGAGCTGCAGTTGCCTACACAGTCTTACTACAACCATGAGTCTGAGAAATGATGCTAGAAAACGAATGCTAATAGGAATGAATAATGTGTTTGCCAGCATAATGTTTTATTTTATACTCATGCATAATGATGAAACTGAGCCAAAAAAGAAACAGAAAATGAACAACCCATACTCAAAATCGTCCCTTTTCCTATTGTGAAATTTAAGCTTTGTATTTTGTACCGACGTCTAGAAAATAATTGTACTATTGTAGTTCATTGAATAATAACAATAACAACAGTAACAACAACAACAATAACAATAACAATAACAACACTAACAAAATTAACAACACTACAATAAACGGTATAAGAACAATCAGCCATGCATAACAGCAAAGCTTAAGCCAGTTACCTGCCATCACTGCCAACAATACCTTTGCACTCCACTGGTGCAGCTAACTCAAATACATTTCCAGATCCATCATAGACCGTGTGCAACTTCAAGTGTAGATGCTTCGCAGCTTTGACTACCTGTTGATAGTAAAAGGCATAGCAGTATTGATTGAGCAATGAAACATTAAGTCAAAGCACTGCTACTATTTGAATATTATGTGACAAGAATATTTGCAAATTCAACAAGTTGAAGTCGTGCCAACAAAGCTGAGAAAAATATTGTTAGATCCTTGCATCATAAATCCAAAACAGAAGAATCTGGTTTATGAGCTTCAGAAGAACTCTTCAAATGTTACTTCCAACATGCGCTATCAATAACCTATTTCAGTACTCTTCCAGCCTAAAAGATGTAATGCACTGTAATTTTTTGGACAATGCCCATCATCTTCCCATGATGAAAACCTTTTTTTTCAAATGACAACTTTGAAGTATATACAATGCCAAATATAGCATTGTTGCTTCTAAAAAGATGGAAAATAGCACTCCATCCAAAAGTAAAACAACATCAAAGGCAACTTACCTTGGAGTGAAACTCTTCATTCCAATATATTTTCTTCCCATTGTCAACGGAACCATATAGAAGCGAGTCTGACTTATCACCTTGAAGGATGCCAGGTAAAACACTCTGGAAGCAAGTAACAGAAAAATGATGGCTACTGTAACATAAAGCCAACTACAATACAATTATATAATCCACCCAACAAACAATTCACCGCATGCTTTACAAGGGTCAGCAACAAATCCCTATTTAAATAAGGGTCTGATATTGTACATTTTAAGTTCCAAGTACCACATCTTGTAATGAATGCAATGTGATTTACCCTACAGACATACACCAAGTTTTTAAGTTCCAAGTACCATATCTTGTAATGAATGCATTGTGATAATTAGAAATCTCTTGCTTTAGTCTTTTCAGGATGTCAAGGAAAAGTTGGTGCATGTTTGTAGGGTAAGCAGTAAGCTAGTCCTAAACAGTGACACATATGAATGCCCATCCAAGTATGTGTTTATTAGTTCCTAAGCTCTGATATCCATTGCTATACGGCGCACTAAAGGCAAAAGGAACACCAGTTCACTACAAGTTTGTTAGCACCTGAGCAACCACCCTGTGGCCTCGGTAGTCAATTATGGCCATTGCAAGGCTGTATAGACCAGGGATGTCAGCTTCTTGATATGCCTTCGTGCCTTTCAGATCATTGTTTGCACCTGCATATGTGGCTTGCTCACTTTCAGCCAACTGATTCTCAGCAGGATCTTTGGTGGCTGAATCCAACATTCCATTGACATCTGAACTAAAACCAGTGGGGTTCCCCTGATTTAGTGCTTCAAAACCTCTGTGTGGAAAGCTCTCCCCATTTGGAACTTCAGAAGTACTTTGTGACAAAGTGTTGGAGATTTTCTCAGACGACAACTGAAGAGGATTTGTGCTCTCAATATCTGAAAGAGAATCAGAGGTCTGTTTCATTGACAATTGCTCAAGGTCTGCATCGACAGCAAAGCTGAAGAAAATATTGTTGTGGACATGCCTGGAAAACATGAAAAAAGATGGGATGAAATTTTGCATAGGTTAGGGTAAGGATATTACAAAGCTGCAGCTGTCTAATACTCCCTCCATCCTGCAATAAGGTTCCACAATTGACCGGACAATTATTAATAAAGGTGAAAGTATGTGGTTGAGTTTTGTGGTGAGGGAGAAATTGTGTAAACTACACAATTCATTCCTCAAAAGGAAAGAGGAATCTTTTTTTGGGACAAACAAATGGGAAATGTGGAACCCTTTTATGGGAAGGAGGGAATATAAGGCAAACCAACAGCAAACCGGTAGTGTCCCATGATGGGGATTTATAGGATTTCTCTAAAAAGTAGAATGCATAAACAAAATAAAGTCATCTGTACAAGAAATCAAACTCCATTTCATCTATGTTCCTCTTGTTGGGATTGTGGATATATGGGTGGCAAGAGTGCTTAGATAGAGGATCAAAAACCTCATAGAAATTGGAAAAATTAGCGAGCATTACAAAAGTTGGAATAAGATATTCACACAGGTAAATAAAGGAGCTACTAATCATTATAAATAGAAAATCAAGTACTGCTGCCCCTCCATCCTATTTTTTTTAAAGTCGTGTTTGGTCAGGGTACAACTTTTAAATTTTGACAAAGTAAAACTCTTAAAAGTCATTGAACCATATAGAGTATTTGCTTCATTCATTTTTATGGCACAAGTAAACCTATCATGATCACAAAGAATACAGCAATTGTAACAAGTTCAGCCAAGTAACTGACATATGAAAGCACTCCGGATCTGTTGGATTGATTGGCGGTATACATCTGTTAATGACTCCAATAGCGCCACTAGTTGCAGCCTCAACAAAGTCAGAAGTGACTTTGTATAGGGCCCTATCGCGCACAATCCTGTAAAATTTTGTCACGAGTCATAGAAGGTGGAAATTACACAAGTGCCAATATTAATAAACTACAGCAACAGAAAAATACTCCCTCAGCCTGAAATCTGGTTCATAATTTGACTAGGCATGGTTATTTAAAATGTAAAAATGAGTGGTTGAAGTTTATGTAGAGGAGAGAAAATTATATGAATCACCCAGATCTTTCCTTGAAAGAAAAGATAAAAAAAACTTTTTTGGGGCAAAGAGAAAAGGTTACGTGGAACATTTTTCAGGAACTGGGTGAATAGTAAAAATTAATCCAGTAGAGTATAATGGGTTAAAAATGGCACATTAATCTTCCTTTGCTTCCAACTTTCTATGAATATTTGGGTCGTAAATGCAACAATGCATCAAGGGTCTAACAGAAATAGTCGTGGTTTTACAGGGGTCTGGTTGTGTACATCTTGACCCCCCAAGACCCCAATAGTGTTCAGATTCAACTAGGTTTTGTTGTAGAAAATAAATTATAAGAAAGAAAAAAAGATAAACTATTGGCATTCGAGTCTACAAATACACAAAATAGGAGATAGGCTGGCCGCCAATAGGGTGGCAATATACCTTTCTTGTGGTGTAACATGTGGCAATTCCCGACAAGACTGCAACTCCTCATTCCAATCTCTTTGCATCCCAATCAGTTCACTTCCAAAAGAAAGTGTTAAAGCATTCTCTGCCCTAGCTGCGTCCCGTGTGTGATCTAAATCCAGTATGACAAGTTAACACTAAATTGATAAAAACAGTGTTTGGGCACATGCTTTAGTATTGTGTGACCAAAAGCATAAATTCAATTAAGACAATCAGTCAAAGTGTTTGGGGGAAGTAATGTAAGCATGGGCAAATTCATCATAGATTATAGATTACAGCCCACAAAGAGCACTCTCAGACTTCCTGGGAGGACCTAAAAGCTCAATGAGATGAATTCATAAACTTAGACGGAAGTTATGTACTTTGATCCAACAATGAAAGTATTAGTGTCTGGCCAACTCAAGGAAAGCATTCAACAATGAAAGTATTAGTGGCAATAGATAAATGAAATTACTTACCAGGAATGGGATAGTAGCCAAGCCATGAATTTGGGGACAGTAGAGTTTGAGTGTTTTCAAAAGGATGTGCAGAGGCCTTGTGCTCCAATATTTCTCCAAAGGCTTACACAAAGAATATCAACTGGTTTATTATGATGCAACTCATGTAAGATACTTTTTTGAAGCATGCCTACATTGACCAATTCTAACCATGTTTTTATACCTTTTTTACACTTGGGGCTAATCGTTTGCAAAATCCCCATGAGAGTTGTTGATTCAGAGCCAGTTCTACTTGGTCTTGGATTAAGAACATTGGCCGTGCTAGAATTAACATAGAAGCTTTTGGTTGTTCCTGTAATACAATATTTGTTTCCTTCCAGTGTTACTACATCCAAATAGATCAAATCTCCAGCAAGTCTGAATGCAATAAAAACTAGAATATGTTACTGATAATATTCCGCGATCAAAATTACAAATATACACACACTACTTTAACAATATAATAACACCTTCTGTAACTGGGAGGAGGATTAAACGAAGAAAACACAATGCTGTCCACACATTTCACTTCCTTGGAATTTGTTGATAACAAACTGGAGAGCAAGCAGGAAATATTCTCCACAAATCCTGTGTTATCTAATTCTGGATTTTACCAAAATCATGCAGTGGAGTTCAAATCAGATGAAAAAAGAGACCAATGTTGAGCTTGGGAGGTAAAAGGAAACCCAAAATAATATAACAAACCTCCAGATTTGAAAGATGTGGGTTTCCCCATTTCATGCTGTTGTGCAAGTAGTGTTGAGAGCGAGGAATGCAAACTGGGAAGAGATAACAGTTCTCGTGTGCGGTGAATATGATCCCTGATAGATCGATCATCATATAACGCTGAAAGACAACCACCAATAACCACAATTTCATTTGAACATTTTAGTCAGCAAAGTCTATCACTAAAGCATGCAATGTGCATAAGACAGATTTACCAGGAACCATCTCTAAGGAGCAGTTTCCAGATGTTATATCAGCCACCTCCGAAATTTCATTATAATCTTCTAAATGATAAGGCCCTTCCTTAGTGTGTAATAAAAGGTCATAACAAGTAATGAAACATGTCTCTGGAGCTTCAAGAAGAAACAGCTTCACTTCCATCACAGAATCACCAGGACTCAGCTGCAACCGCAAGCCCGTGATTAAAGAAAGCATTGAGCATCCACACATAATAAATTAAATAAACAATAAATAAAATAGAACTATGGAACAAAACACTTTCTGGGTTTTGATATAAAGGTAGTCATTTTGTCCTATTATGGTCATGAGAAGATTAGTATACATCATTGAGCTATTTCAGGCAATATGACATAAAGTGACATTAAACATACTGTAAATAGGATTTAGCCCTTCTAAGTACAAGAATATAATACAGATAATTTTACATGGCCAGAAGAAAAGGAGATCAATAGAATGAAGAATTAAGACAGAATGGCATAATTAACATTACTACCAAATAACAATAATATGTGTCTTACTTGTAACTCTAGCTTTTCACCCCCATGAGTTTTAACAGTAACAGGGTATAGAAGGATATCGCCTGCACCACAATAAGAGTAATTTTACCATATAAGTTTGAACAATCTAAATTATAAAGAGATCCAAGAGTATCCTAATGTGTCCATGAACTACATAGTTGAGGCATAATTAGAAAATGGAACATTGGTGTCAACCAAAATAACATTAGCCAGTTAGCCCATTAGAGTTGGAAAAAAAAAATCTCAATTAACATTAAAAATTATCAAAGATAATTAAATTAAGTGCAACCTAGCTGCTACAGAATATCATCATATCAAGGGTAATATGTTACTTCTAGTAAGCGGCAAGCCATAGGCTTTACTTTCACAGTTTCACGGAGGAAGAAATAAATAGGAATTGCATGTGCAAATTAATCTTAATATGCAAATGCAATTACAAAAACACAAAAAAATAGTCCTTATAATATAGAGGGATCAGCACACGAAATGTTTTAACAGATCCATTGACACCAATCGAATTAAAGCAAAAACAATTTTATGATATTGTCTACTGGCAGAAAAAGTCTTAAGAGTCTTGCTTTGCACTTTCCAACATGGGAATGTCAGTAAAAATATACCAAAGCCCTGGACCATAGTCGAGATGGATGTTGTTCATTTTGGGTATAGTTATGTGAAAGGCCGTCTGCACTTTAACCAACCATTTAACAATAGTTTGGCATATCCAAATTCTAAGATAGGAATACAGGAATGTAAGTGAAAGGTGCAAGACAAGATGAAACCATTAACCTCACCTTGCTTTGGTGGGTTGGATGGAGCCTCATCCAAAGAACCTTTGGCTTCAGTCTTGGTATCAGTTGATAAACTGATTTCTGAATTTCCATCAGCCTCCAAACTTACAGGAGCATCGGATGACAACACAGCTTCAGTGGTTACAGTGCCATTTTGTACTTTCCTACTCTTCCCTTTGTTCGACTTTCCTGCCATCTCCAGTCCCTGTATAAAAAATAAACAATAACTAATCAACTCATTGATCAGCTTTGTCGTTATATCTCTGGATTGTTTGAGCATGGAACAAAAGGTAACTCTAGTCTATCTAGTAAGAAGCAATCAAAAAAAACTTAATGAGAAACAGTTTAAACCAAACAAAATGGAAAACTTTAATGAAATAGACGAGGTTTATCCAGTATATCCTACACAAAAACAGTCCAATACAAACTTTTTTGCATTATGAATGAAACTGAGAGCTCCTACCTCTCGCAAAACACAAAAATTATCGCTTCAATAAATGCTCAATCTTCATCAGACAACAAAAATACAGAAATGATTGGCTCAATCGAAATCAAAGCAGGAAGAAACATCAAAATATGATTCAGATTCCTCAACATGAGCCATGAAGTGAGCAGAACAAACTTCAAAAACAAAAAACAAAAATTTAAAAAATTAACAAAGACGTTGAGAAACTATTACCCCGATTTCAGTAAGCGCGAAGCTTACGCTTAGCTAGTAGTCAATCTAGAGCGCCGCCGGATTGGCGAAGCGGGGAAGAGAGGCTTACGGTGGGGCTGCGGTGGAGTTCCGGCCGTATGTGCTGAAGGTAGAAGTGGTTGAGGGAGAGTGAAATACTATGAATAGTTGGAAGAGTGCACAAGAAATCATTTTGGTGGCTGAGAGATCCGTTGGGCCTTGTCTCCATGGAGCGGGCCTAGCCCAATCCACTATATGCTTCGATTGGAACGTTTAACCTTTTTAAATTTGGAATTATTAGCTCAAATAATACTCGGATCCGGGTATCACGTTTTTGTGGTCTATCAAAAATAATATTTTCCGGTCCTATAAATTTCATTCTGTTGTTAACGTTTTAGGCTAGTAGTGAAACATTTTTACAAAAATAGATTTAATATATCAAAACTATATTCTAATATAAACCCAAATATATTGGATTTATATCCTAATTAATTATACTTTTTCAGAATTTTTGGTCAAAGGGTTTCCCTATCTAGGTAAAAAAGTTAAGATTGGAAGGATTTCATGGGACGAAAGGAGTATCACTTTATAGTACTTTGCAATATTATGGTCTTGTTAGGATATTTACTTTATATGTCAGTTGTTCGCTAGTTGTTAAAAAATATTTAGTAATTTAGATGTCTGTGAATAGATATTTCGAGATGCAAAAAACTAAAAACTACACAATTATGTGTGTGTGTATTGTTTGTTTTGTTTATTTTTTTCAAAAAGAATAATGGGAAAGGGTTTAATTTTACTTCAAAGCATGGTGAAAGTAGTAAGTTTTCTTGAAGTAATAGATATAGTTGTGCTCCATTACACTCAAAAGCATTAGGAGTCGGCCAAGAAACAAACTCCAATCTTTAAGCCACAATGTGGGATGCAAAGTCAATACATAATGGGCATTATGGAAAGAGAAAGCAACTTAAAGTTATGAATAATCCGCTAGTGTACTCCAAATGTCACTAATACGAAGTAATTTTTGTTTAACCCATAAATTTTAAGTAAAGCCAAACGTAACAAAACCACGAGAGATAGAATTTCAATACAACTTGTTGTCTTATCCATAGATAGTTGAAACTAACGAATGAAAAATACAATTAAAAGTGCGTGGAACAAATTAAAAGAATCATGGGAAAACGATTGCATGAGACTACGAGGTAATTTTTACCGATTTAAAAAATTACGACCGTAGGTGAGCGTTAAAAACCGTAAAAAAGTAAAAGTGAAGCAAAGTCACCACAAAACTCCCACTCAATCATGTCATTATTTGTGTGTATATAAATACCTAATTTAACCATAACCATAGCCAAAACACACCCCAAAGAAATGGCAATCTTAAAGTATTGGCTTATCACCATTTCCTTAATTTTCTCATCAACACATTGCTTTGCTTTCTCAAACTCTTCATCATCATCTATCCAAGAGGATTTCTACAACTGCATATGTTTGAACTCAAATTTCTCTGCCCCTTTCTCCACAGCTTTCTTCACCCCTAGCAATGCTTCATTCCCTACCGTTCTCGAATCCACCGCCCAAAATCTCCGGTACCTGGTCCCGTCCGCCCCGAAACCGAAACTTATTTTCAAGCCACCCGCCGAGTCCCATGTCCAAGCCGCAGTCATTTGCGCGAAACAACTCGGCATTCAGCTCAGAGTCCGGAGCGGGGGCCACGACTACGAAGGCCTCTCTTATGTTTCTGGAATGGAACCGCCGTTCGTTGTCCTTGACCTCTCCAATCTAAGAGAGGTCAAGGTTGACGCGGCGGCTAACATTGCTTGGGCCCAAGTGGGCGCCACTGTCGGGGAAGCATATTACAGGCATGCATTATATATATTTTAGATATTAATTAATCCATATTTGCTTGGCCTTTCCTTTTTGGTTTGAATATTTGTTTTCCCTTTAGTTAAAATATAACCTACTCTCTCATCCTCATCCCATTATATTCATTCAATTTAACTTTTTTCAATAAAAACTTTTTTAACAGTGATAATTCTATTACAATTGTAACATTTGTACGAATATACTTTCGCAACATATTTAAGCACCAATAATTACTGTCTCCACAAGATATTGAACCTGTGACCTCCCATCTGGAAGGGTCACGTGGATGCCATTGAAACACAAAGTCTTTGCCTTTTCAATAAAAACACCATTAATCATCAAGTAAATGAGAATTGCATCATATAATAATAAAAAATAAAAAAGAGTAATATTATTAGATTTTTCTTGCATAAAAAAAACTTTGGGCATACTATTTAAATAGACAGAAGGATCAAATTGGCACCAATTTTTTTTTTTGAAGTCAATTGGCACCAATTTAAAAAAACAGAGAATCTATTTGGGCCTTACAGGATTTCACAAGAGAGCGGGAATCTGGGCTTCCCGGCGGGCCTGTGTTCCAGCCTGGGAATCGGGGGGCACATAACCGGAGGAGCGTACGGTCCGATGATGAGAAAGTACGGTCTCGGAGCTGACAACGTTGAAGACGCTCGGATTGTGGACGCCAGGGGGAGGATTCTGGACAGGCAAGCCATGGGAGAGGATCTTTTCTGGGCGATCAGGGGAGGCGGCGGCGGCAGCTTCGGAATCATACTGTCATGGAAGCTCAGCCTCGTTCCCGTCCCTTCTGTGGTGACCGTGTTCACTGTCCCCAAAACCCTGGAGGAGGGCGCCACCGGAATCCTGTACAAATGGCAAAACGTGGCCGATAAGCTCCCGGAAGAACTGTTCATCAGGGTGGTCATATCGGTGGTCAATGGTATATTGGGAGAGATTTGTTTCATTTTGGGCCTTTGAGTTGGCTGGTTCTTTTGACACCATGGATTATGACACCGAGCCATTTTGGGATTTTACCATCCGAGACCGGGTTCTACCCCTATACCCTAACGGCAATCTATACCGTACAACCGCCCGCTTGTATGATGTTTCCCGTACATCTGCGGCGAGTACTCATTAACAAGTAACTGAATACTCATTTTCGATTAACTAAATTCAGTTATACTTGAAAAAGAGTATTCAGTTACTCGAAAACGAATATTCAGTTACTAAGTATTTAGTTATTCGAAAATGAGTATTCATGCGAATGTACAAAAAATATCATATATCCAGGTGTATGGTATAGGTACTCGTTGGGTTTGCAGGGTGGGTTTGAAGATAGGATTAGGTCCCGAACGCAAAAGAGCCCCATAGTATCCCAATGTCATATTATGACACCAAAAATGAGTGTCAAAAGAAAGATGGCCTTTAGCCCCGATTCTTTTGACACCGAGTCATTTGGGGATACAACGGTGCTCCATTGAAATCGAGACGAAAATCTACCATATCAATGTTACAGTAGCACTATAACATTTCGGAGAAAAATGCACTATAACAATTTGGAGATGGGTAAGGGATAGAATCATATCCTGGGCAAAATAGTGCATCTAATAAGCGCCCTGGTGTCATGTTATAACATCCAAAACCAGTGTCAAAAGAACTATGGCCTTTTTTTTTAATGATTTCATTTCCTAATCATTACTCTTCATCTCTTCTGCACAATTTTGCAACAAAAGGCACGGGAGAAGAGCAGAGGACGGTCCAAACGGCGTACAATGCGCTGTTTCTGGGCAAATCCGAAACGCTTTTGCAGATCATGGGAGAAAGTTTCCCAGAGCTGGGGTTAACCAAGCAAGACTGCACAGAGATGAGCTGGATCGAATCCGTGCTCTACATCGCCGGATTCCCAACAAACACCCCGCCGGAAGTCCTACTCCAGGGCAAATCTCAGTTCAAGAACTACTTCAAAGCAAAATCAGATTTTGTCAGAAAACCGGTCCCAGAAACCGGGCTGGAAGGGATATGGAAGAAACTCTTGCAGGAGGACTCTCCATTGATGATCTGGAACCCCTATGGAGGAATGATGGGGAAGATTCCAGAATGTCAGACTCCATTCCCACACAGAAAAGGGGTCATCTACATGATCCAATACCTAACTCTCTGGAACGACGACTCCCAAGAATCTGCAAAGAAACACATGGATTGGATGAGGGATTTCTACAGTTTCATGGCTGATTATGCATCGAAATCTCCAAGAGAAGCATATGTGAATTACAGAGATCTTGACCTGGGGACTAACAAGAATGGAAATGCTAGCTACAATCAGGCTGTGTCTTGGGGGAAGCAGTATTATAAGGGTAACTTTGAAAGATTGGTCCGTGTGAAGACCAAAGTTGACCCAGACAACTTCTTCGTGCATGAACAGAGTGTCCCCACATTACCTCTGAGCATGTGGAGTCCGAGAACAGAGAAGAAGGCAATGACCGATTAATTCGATATATCAATGTGTTTATTTGTAGTTCCTTGGAGTCATTATCAGCTTTGTTTAAATTAATAAAACAACTCCAGCTATGCAAAAAATATCATTTGTGGTCTCAAGTCTCAACTGTTATATCAAAGAAGGTAATACCAAACCTAACCAAACAAAGTCTTTATTTCAGTCAAGAGTAGGGCCTTGGGTTGGGAATAGGGGTAGACAAGGTTCCGGTTCGGAATTGGCACCAGTACCGGACCGATGGGGCAGGGCACGAGGAAACAGACACCAACCGCAGTGGGGAAAGGGTTCCGGTTCTAACATTTTGGGACCAGCAATGCCAGTTCATTTTTTTTCAAGATTGGTGCACTATTTTTAAGGCCAATTCATAATATCTACAGACAAAAATATTACAAACTAAACTATCTAACATTTTTCCAAAAAAAAAAAAAACCGGAACTGAAATCAGGATTCTGCCGCCCCTGCGTAGTTTCTAAGGCTCCACCCCACGTGACCCAGAACTAGGGGCTGATCTGCTCAAAGGCCCCAAGTGAGGGGCATGTTACAGACTTACAGTATAAAACCTTTCTAAAACTCAAACTTGAGCCTTTAGTTGAGTTAGTTCTTTGACATTAGATTTTAGTTTTAATGGAACAAGCCTTGTGGAACTTACCTCTTCTTTGGGTAGAGGTAGTCTTTCCGAGAGGATTGAGGACCCCAACAAGACAGATCAGGAGAAAATGTCTTCTTTAGCGAATGATGTATCTTTGTGCATGCAAGGTTCTTCTGGCAAGGACTGGAGTTGCTCGTAGTTTAGCTGTCGAGAAGCTTCATACAAAGCAATGCCAACACTTACGGATAAGTTCAAACACCTGACATATGTTTCCGCCATTGGAATGCGGAGCGCCCCACCACCCAGAGGTTTGTTCGTGCAATCAAGCACGGCTTCAGGCGGCAACCCTTTAGTTTCTGAGCCAAATATCAGCCAATCACCCCTTTTGTAGCAAAAGTCCTGACCATCATTTCACATTGAAGATATTAACATACCATTTCTTTCACACAAAAAAAGAGCATTAACATAACATTTAGATCCACATGCAAGGGAGAGTGAGACTAGCCCTCTTCCCCAGTGTCACACAACTGACAAGTTTCCACTTTATCCATTGATGTTATGTTTAAATAACCAAAAATACTAAAGGGAGCCTAGAGATATGCCAAGTTATTTTGTATGCTTGGTTCTAAGTTGGAAGATGATTAATGGTTTAAAGATATAAACGTATTTAAATATCTTAGTCTTTATATAATATATATAAATAAATAAAATGAGTTTGAAGTACATTTATGATACATTAATACATGTATAGAGAGAGTATCTTTTATTGTCACCCAAGTTGTCACTCCCAATTATCTTTTAAATTCTCTTTTTAAAATGGACCCTTAGGGTAGGCTAACCAAGAACACACAAGTATCAGTTAATATCAAAGTGCGTGATGCTTCATAAACATGGGCAGATCCACCCTTATGCTGTCGGGGCAGCCGCCGCCGGTCAATTTTTTTTGGATATATAATGTAAAAATTAAAAAAAAGAATCTAGTAGATTAAAATCGTGCTCCCAGTAATAAAAAAATATGCCCCTAGTAAAAAAGATTTGTGCCCCAATAAAACAAAAATTAATTCCAAAAGAAAAGAAATTTTTTAAATAGAATATAAAGGTAAAATATTTGTAATATTATAGTTATATTAAATATGATATACTACATAATTCCTTCAGTTCTATATTTTCTACTTTTGAAATGTTTTTTTATTTACCTACTTTGGAAATATTTTGTTTTACTCATTTTAAACTAGTTTGATATAAAAAAATTATCCTTTTCCATCATAATTTAAAAGTGCTTTAAAAAATTGACCCCTGCCTTACTACTGCCCTAGATCCACCACTGTCAATCATAAACCCATTCTACATTAAGGGTCCGTTTCAAAAGAAAGAAAATGGTTTCTGGAAAACGACTTTCAGAAAATAACTTCATTTTCGGGATGTTTAGTTGAAAGTTTGGAAAAAGAAAAAACTAGTTTTTGTGGTTATAACATATGATATAACGTGGTGAGTTTTGATATAAGTAGGAGAAGGGTGGAAAATGTTTTCCGCCAAGAAAAACAGAAATCATTTTCGTCAAAACATGGCTCATTTTTTGTTGACTTCTATTTTCCAGAACAACCAAACACTGGAAAATGGGGAAACCATTTCCGGAAATCATTTGCCCCTCATCCCAAATGGGCCCTAAACTATAAAAGAAAATACTACTCAATCATTGAAATTTATGGAATACACTGCTAGCCCCTATGTGCTTCCTATAATCATACATGTCACCCCTTCAAATTCAGCAAATATGGTGTAACACATGTATTTTCCCGACTAATCCCGAGAGCCACGAGATTATTATTTCTGATTCCTTTTCCAAGGCAAACAGAGCATAAAAATGACCAAATGTTCCATTGAAATTTCCAATTTGGAGAATATGGACCCAACGACTCAACTTACTGAATGGATGACTGCTCCTCTTTTAGTAAATGCCAGAAGCCTCTTTTCCTTGGTCTGTAAAGGAAATATATATGCACATTAGTTTCCAATTCACTTAAAAATGAAGAGGTTTGATATCACATATTAAGATATGAGGGGAATATGAAAGACCTGTCTGCTGAAATAGTCCAGAAATTCAGACCATGACTTATGCACTTTCACAACAACATATCTGGATTTGAGAGTTAAAAGTTGAAAACTTTAGTATAAGCAAATCACTCTTCTAATAATGACTAAAACTAAAATCTACCGTGTAGGGTTTGACAAGAGATCAATCATGTTCCATGATGTACATGTTGATTCTACAATATTATTTTTGGTTGAATGTGGCATGACTAGCAAATTGGCAATTATATCAACTCATTGTTGTCTCGTGCTATTTTCAATGAGTGGGGAAAAAAATATGATAATGACGGCTTAGATATTTCATCTCATTATTCATTAATTCCTTCTTTACAAGGTTGCAACGTGAGCACCAAACAGCTTTGCCACTATGCTTTGTGTGTGAATCTAGTGTTAAAAAATTTTACACAATTAATAGTCACTAAATATTATGTCACCGACTCAACATTATTGGGATTATAGTGATGTCGACGATGTGTTCCATGATTCTATGCTCTTACTCTATTCGTGCTAAAGTGTTTGCTTTGTTGGTGCTTATATGTTTTGAGCCATATGTCTCTTGGAAACTGCATCTCTGCTTCCAATAGGGATAAGGTCTGCGTCCACACTTTGCCCATACATCTCCCGGATACTAATTTTGTGGAATTTTATTGGGTTTGTTGTTGTTGGTGTTTTGGTGATGACGATGATGATGAGGTGCACATATGCACATACCCAAATAGATGGTCCAATAATATGACACTATGACTGGGTGTTGCAAAGGATACGGCCAGTAATCGAGTCCCGCACGCTTCAGCTTTGTATCATCAATGGCAAATCCTAATGGCTGAAAAGGGACAATGCTGATAATAGTTGACTTGAATGTTTGCTTTTAAGAAATTGAATACTGATAAATAAACAGTATCTACCACACTGTAAAATCAATATGTATACCTCAACCAGGTGGAGCTTCACACCTGACGCTGCACATGTTCTTGCAATACTCCCAACATTTCCAGGAATCTATCATAGGGAATAGATCAAAAGACAGATTCTGGGCAGTGTTTGCTACATAGAAAGTCCATTTTCAATGAAAATGGATTTCCATGGGAAGGTTTTCCAAAGTAAATAATAAAAAATTCAATATAATTTTCCAGTGCTTGGCAAACTTCAAGGAAGTAAATAATAAAAAATTCAATATAACTTTCCAGTGCTTTACATGACTCCGAAATAGTACTGCAAAACAAATCTTCCCGATGAGGCGGGAAACTAATTTTCGAATTCTCAGCAAAAGAAAGGATTTTTATATCCTCTACAAAAAAAACAATCGACGGAAGAAACTGTTGTGCCTACCAAACACAGGAAAATAGTTTACTGAAGTGAATATTACTATAATATTGAATTAAACAGAACAGTGCTGAAAATAAGTGCTATTCAATCAGGAGGAACTCGAATAACACCTGAGGAGAAACTAAAACCACTTGAAGAACACAATTCTTTGAAGCTCCACTAACAGCCTCACCAACTCCCTTCGGCAGAGCCCCGTCACAGCTTTTTCCTGCTGTAAATTAGAAAGAATAAATATTTTAAACCCAAATTTCTACAGAGAAGAAATCGGAACGGAAGGATTAAAGTGGGGTGCTTACTCAGTGAGCACAGGGGATGAAAGAGGGAATCAGATCGCGAGATGGGTAAATTCAATTTGTGGCGAAATGGGCGGGAGGGAGAAGGTCTGGACCAGAGAGGAAGAGGGGTAACTTTGGGGATTAGGGTTTTCAAGCTAGATGCCATGTCTCTGTGACCGGTTTTCTCTGCGTCTTCCTCTGTTTGGCGCTTCTTCCCTAATCCTAGCTCGGTTTTACACACTTTTACTCCCACACAAATGAGGAGTACAAAATAAAATTTATAATTTGTGAATTATAAGTATTTATTATTTCTTCCGTCTCTAAATGTTTTTCTTATTGGATTTTTCACGATCTCTAATATTATATGTTGACCATTAATATTTATATTTATACATAGATTTAATTTTAAAAAATTAATGTTTCAAAACTATGTTTCGTTATGAATATATTAATATTAAATTTATACACAGAATATCATAAAATGATGGAGTATATTTTTTCATAAATCGGAGTCAAAGTTTACAAACTTTGACTAAAAAAGTCAAATGTGAAAAAACATTTCCAGAAGGAGGAAGTATATAAATGTCTTACTCTTTACTCTTCAAATAAATCAATTTAACTTGATAGAAAGTCTCGGAAAAGTAAAAACGAATAGTTGATAAGTCGCTCAAAGTTTTTCACAAAAGAAAAAGATAAATCTTGTTTAGAGACATTTCAAATAGGAGATAATAAGTTTTTTTAGACTAAGAGAGTAATACATTATAAATTAAAATTAATTATTTAATTATTAATATTAAAATTTTAAAACTATTGCAACTATTAACGAAATATTTTTATTGTTAAAAACATTTGATCTATGTCGGTAGAGAGAGATTGTATAAATTTAAAATTAAATATTGATACAAAAATAACTTTGTTAGATTTGTCTTAAAATTAGATACTCCGTATGTTATTGTGTTTACATACAATATTAATTTACGAGAGTAATATTAAAATTCTTTTTCTTTAAATAACAAAAAGCCGTTAGTCGCGCCAGTGGACGCGGATGGGTTTCTCTCTCTCTCTCCAATTCGCCACCAAGTCAAGTGCCTCGAACAACCGAGTCAGCTCAGTTCACCCCTTCAACTCCGGCAACATTTCCACTCAGACAATTCGTCATACACAATCTTCCTCCCTTTCAATTCCACACGGTGGACTGAAATTCACAACCTTCCGGTGGCTCTAACGATCGCGACTCTTCGCCTCTTTTCATAAGATGTCGAGGATGTTCGGTGGAGGAGGTAGCCGCGGCGGCGGCGGCAGATTCAACCAGAAGATCGATTACGTGCTCAAAGTGGTTCTGATCGGAGACTCAGCCGTCGGCAAGTCGCAGCTCTTGGCGCGCTTTGCCAGGAACGACTTCAGCGTCGACTCCAAGTCCACCATAGGAGTTGAGTTCCAGACTCGGACTGTAGTCATCGATCAGAAGAGCGTCAAGGCTCAGATTTGGGACACCGCCGGCCAAGAAAGGTTTGTGTGATAAAGCAACTAAAACACAAAGTACTCTTGCTAATTTGGCTGCATGTGTTTGGCACTAGTTTGATTTGTTGGATTTATATGCTATTTGATCTAAACTTTATTAGATGATCTTCATCGATTTTGATTAACTTTATTAGATTGTCTCATTTCACGACTAGGAAAGACTAGAGCTTAATTTTGTGATATATAGCAGCTTCTTGGCGGCAGATCTTCACCACTCAGTAAGCAGTGAAACTGGGTTTCATATTACTGCAAGCTAACCAGAATTCGTAAATAGACACAAATCTGAAATACAATTTAAATTAATGATTTAATGGTGTTCTGTTAATGATCAACCCATATGAGTATCTGATTTGTTTTTATGCTTCAGTGCTTCCGTTACTACACATGTATCTCTCGGTATGCCTAAATGTACTCATGAAACTCTATCTCGGATTTCCAACTCTTTCTTGTGACCTAGTTGTCTCCGATTCATTCATTCTAAGCCTAGTTAACTACTCTTTATTGAGGCTGAGAAATGTACGCCCACACAGATTCTACTACTTGGCTGCAATTGGCAAACATTATATGTCATATTCTTCTAGCAAACTTAATAGCCTTTCACAGTTGACCAAAGAGTTTTATGCCAATTCAAGTCTCTCAAACTCCAACAATTCCTTGGTCATGCAGAAAATAGTGAGGAAAGGTGGAGAATTCTAAACAAAATATTTTTTTTTACTTGCGTTTAATCTTGAGAATAAGAATGATAATCAAATCTGATCAGAAGTTTTCACAAATTTTGCATACATTTATATTTCATTGTCTTTTTGTGTTTTAGAAATATAGAAATAAAGTGTGTATCAACAAATACCTAAAATTGATATGATGAAGTTATGGTTTAATGTAGGAAGTATTAAAATTTTCAGGTATTGAGCAGTGACGAGTGCATACTACAGGGGTGCACTCGGAGCAATGTTGGTCTATGATATTACCAAACGTCAAACATTCGAACATGTGGTTAGGTGGTTGGCAGAACTGCGAGATCATGCTGACAAGAACCTTGTGGTCATACTCGTAGGTAACAAGACAGACCTTGAGAGTGATAGAGAAGTATCTACAGAGGCTGCTAAGGAGTATGCCGAGAAGGAGAACCTGTTCTTCATTGAAACTTCCGCACTTGACTCGACTAATGTTGAGACGGCTTTCCTCGACCTTCTGACTGAGATTTATCGTGTTGTCAGCAAAAACTCTCTTGTCGCCAATGAAGAGGACACGGGAGAATCTGCTGGCAGTTCAGCACTTCTCAAGGGAACTCAAATTGTTGTTCCTAGACAAGACGAACCTGTGTCAGCTGGGAGCTCATCTGGGTGCTGTAGATCTTCTTAGCAGGACTGGTTCTTGGCAGAAATGGTTCAAGATGATTTGTATAATCATGAAGATTCAAGCAATTTGTGGCTTCTTCTGCCGTGTGAGGTACCCGCTAAGCCATTTTAGTCTATCCATTTCTAGATTTCTCTGTTTGGGCTTAGACACTTTGAGGCCTTGGAGATGGTACGTTCGCATGAAGATGTGAACATCATTATCTGATCTTGAAATTTGTACTTTGCTAGTTGCTACAATGTGTGTCCAGGTGGAACTCTTTTTCTTGCTTGGAGGAGTTTCATACTTGCTCACAAAGAGTGCACACTTTTATTAACACACAATTCAATAAAGCAGTACTATAATCCATTTTACCTGGCATTGGTCAAACTGCATTTTCTTCCTGAACTTAAAGTTGTAATGATTCGTTATAAATAAATAGACATCTTACAATCCGTTTGATAGAACTTCTGATGTATATTTTGCAAAATGTTATACGAAGTAGTTTTCTTTGATGTACTTTATAATTATTTCCGATAGGTCAATAAATCGTGGGATAATTTTATTCTGCATACACCCACCCTTCACAAACTCCACATGTACTTGTCGTAATACAAATGCACCTTACCATTGCAACAAGTGTTTAATGGAAATGAAATTTGAATTGTCATTCAAATAGTGAAAATGACAAAAGTAAAAGGAAACATGAGGAGTAACAAACTCATAGATAGGCTAACCATTACAGTCACTTTATTCAAGTTTAAGGCTAAATCTAATAACCAATAATCATCTGTGCCAGAAACTTATCATCTCTATATCTATTCTGATAATTAGAACCCCAAATGGCCCTCCCCTTCCATGTGTAATCACATCATCTTCCGATTCAGCTTTTTTCGCATTCGGGGGCGATGTTACTTTCCCATTTCGCCTGCACAGTTAAAAAAACACCCCATCACAATCTTAGTTCAACTAGCATGAAGAACATCCCCAATTTCTGTCACTGGCTTTATTGTAGAATTTGGGATGAGTAACTTGCCAACTTATATACTCCGACACCAGTTCAATTGGGACACTTATGGTGCTCCATCTGTAAAAATTGACAGTTCCTACCCCCTAACCTCTCAGCCCCCAGCCCAGCCCCATGCACCTTCCCCTTTAATTACTGATTTTGCAGAGGGAGAGATGTTGGAATGGGAGGTTTAAGGGGAGAGGAACCGTCAATTTTATAGACGGGACACCCTAGGTGCCCAATTGAAGTGGTGTCGCCGTGTGACACCAATATGAGTGGTGTCAAAACAGACACACTCAAACATAATTAGACTATATGTATAGGTAGATTCTATTTACATACAGGGTTCAAAGTTGGCAGTGCATTTGTCTGGGAGCTGGAGAGCCATGTTGCGATCAACGCCGACAATGGGGGGCCCGCTGAGGATGCTGCACAAGCACGGCTGCCCGAGAGACCGGAGGGCAGCACAGCAAGCCTCGCTGGGCGGGAAGGGCCGAAAGGAGGAAACCGCCGGCCTACACGGCAGGAGCTGAACAATTGCGGAGACAAAAGTGGACCCGCAAGGCGGTGCCCCTTGGGTTTCCTGCACCAGACTCCCCATCACCACCAGCACCGCCGCCACCACGGCCCACACCCAACTGCTCTTCATCATCCTTGAATCGATTTGCAGGCTACCCGGTGTGGTAAATATCATTACAATGCTGGAATATAGACATGTATATATATATAGATACAATGCTGGAATATAGAATACAAAGTTTATATGAGTGGAGCAAGATTGGTGTTGCAGTCCTAACTCCAATAAGTGGATCATGCTGGGCTTGCTTAGCTTGTTTCTTCACAGCACTTTCCATCATGTCTCCATGGCTGCAGTTGAAGAACATAATTGTGGTGATCATGGCAAGATCAACTACTACACTACTAAATCAATTCAAGCTTTACAAATATAGGGGGGTTTTCTCTATGGTAGTATTTATTGTCTTATTGTTGGTAACCAGTTTTTAACTTATAAGTTATTTATAAGTTAAATATTCTTTCGTGGAAGTAAAATGACTTGAATGATAGGTAAGCCATTTGAGGATATTCATAAATAATGGCGGATAATTTTGTAAATAATTTGGTCAGAATGGAGAAACGACAGAACTAGCTTGAGAATAAGTCGGGAAGACCAATTTTTTTACTTATAAGCAAATATCAGCTTTTAACCATAAAGAAAACATGTCATCAACTTACATATAAGTAAAAAAATAGCTCATAAGTTGTTTGTGCCAATGTATAACCATAGAAACACCAACTTAATATCAACTACTCCGGGTATGTTCTTTAAGTTCTACTCCCTCCGTCCCACAATGGATATCACGCTCTAAACTACATTCTGCTTAATATCAACTACGTTCTTTAAAATCATTTTAATTTTAAATTGGTATAAAAAATAAAAAATATAAAGTACACCGTTCAAAACATCATAAACTCTACAAAACAAGAGGTGAATACATTATTTTATCTAATGATCAATCAAAGCACACAAAGAAACAAAAGTTATCGACAAACTGTATTAGTGAGAGTGAAATTCATTTTGGGATGAAGAGAGTATTTTTTCTAAAAATCTATTTTTTCAGACTATCTATTTTCACTATTGATTGAGACGATTAATTAATCAATGTACCATCACACCAATGTGGTTCTTTTTTGAAAATCTACTTTTTTCGGTCATATTGTCACCCCAAGCACACCGAGAACTCCAAAAACACAATCCACCACTCTTGCCTACACGAACCAAGTCTCGGATACCAAATGTTGGGATCACGTGTACCATCACGCCAATTTTGTACTAGCATGATATTGAAGAAATCATCTTAAATAGGAATTCACACAGTGGTAATGTGGCATTGTGCATTAACATTTTATTATACTTGTTGATAAGGTACATGACATTAATTAATAATGTAATGCATTTTAACTCTCATTTCGAAAATAAAAATATAGAATTCCTATTTTGTTATATAGTCATGTGTGATCATGTTTGATTTGTCTTAACATATACTCCCTCCGTCACCCAGTTTTTGTCTACTTTTGACTTTTGGAACTGTTCATCTAAGCACTTTGACTCATCAAATTTTCTCAATGTGTAAGTCTAAATATAGTCACGTGTAATCTTGTTTGATTTGTCTTAACATATAGATTATTAATATATAATTGTTATAATTTTTTAATATACAAATTACAAGATAAAATGGATTAAAGAAATGTCATTGGATGGCGTGTAAAAATGAAAGTGGACAAATACTTTAGGACGGAGGTAGTAACTTTTATTGTTAATATACATTGAATTACTATTAATTTTGTATAAAATCTTCTATTTTATACTCCCAATGTGCATTGGAGTAGTTATTACCAATGTGCATCGATAGTTATTTTATTATTCTAAAGAAGTGGTTATATAAACTTTACTTAAAAATATTTTATAATGAGTATAATCTTTAAAATTTTTCATCATTATTCTCTTTTATTTATTTTTAGGACTAAAAATTAAATAAATGTGAATTATTATTGAAATCCAACTTTTATTTTAAAAAGATATCATATTTAATAAATAAAATATACTCCATATTAGTAGAATAAAAAATTATACTCCCTCCGTTCCAGAGTATTTGTCCACTTTCATTTTTACACACCATCCAATACACTTATTTAATCCATTTTATCTTGTAATTTATATATTAAAAAATTATAGAAATTATATATTAATAATCTACTCCGTATACGTCAAGACAAATCAAACAAGATCATACATGACTATATTTAGGCTTACACATTGAGAGAATTTGATGAGTCAAAGTGTTTAGATGAACAGTTCCAAAAGTCAAAAAAAGACGAATATAGCAAGAGAGAGGTAGTAATACTCAGTATTAAACTATTATTGTATTATGATTCAAACTAGAGTTTTTATTAAAATCTTAAAATTGCAAAATATTCTATATGAGTTCATGGATTAAAAAAATTTGAATAAGCTAAATACTAAAAATAATTCTGAAACCAATGAAGTAAATTTGGTGTGTGGAGTAAAGGTAGTGTATGGATAGAGTGTGACAATCATATCCAATAAAATTTTACAAGATGTTATGCAACCTAAATTTAATCAAATCCATATTAAAAACGAGATAAACAGTTTTGGATATACTCCGTAGTAAAATACAAATGATATGTTTGGCAATAAAAATAGAGAGAGGAAGTGAATCCAAAACCATTTTCCATTGGTTTGTTTGGTATGAAAGAATTTGTCAACAATTATGTAGCAATAAAATCTGTTAACCTTGGACCCCTTTCTGCCATTCATATTGTTCCCTTCTTCTTCCCCCCTTCAAAGCCTTTGCTATTTACAGATCGTAAAATGGACAATAAATTTAACTCAATCCAAATATATCCCACAAATTTAGAGTCAGGTTTCATTCCCAATTCATTAGTATTCGATTGATAATAAAACATCAATCAAGGAAAACGAGAAATGCGTATAAAGAGAGTCTAACAAGGTGAAAAGTAAAATTTCATTAACCATTACATGATAGAGGTTGAACAGAAAGATTTACATGATGAAGAACAAAAGAAACCAAGCAAAGAACTAAAAAGATCATAATATTACCCAAATAGAGAGGCTGATTAAGAAGACAACAGATTTTTTTGGAACATTCTAGAAGATTAAGCCCTCTCCCCGCGAATCCTCCTGGCGAGCTGCATGTCCTTGGGCATAATGGTGACCCTCTTTGCGTGAATCGCGCACAGATTCGTGTCCTCGAACAGTCCGACGAGATACGCCTCCGCCGCCTCCTGCAGAGCCGACACGGCGCTGCTCTGGAACCTCAGATCCGTCTTGAAATCCTGAGCGATCTCCCTCACCAGCCTCTGGAACGGGAGCTTCCGGATCAGAAGCTCCGTGGACTTCTGGTACTTGCGGATCTCCCTCAGCGCGACGGTTCCCGGCCGGAAACGGTGCGGCTTCTTCACTCCGCCCGTCGCCGGCGCGGACTTCCTCGCCGCCTTTGTCGCCAGCTGCTTCCGCGGGGCCTTTCCTCCGGTGGACTTGCGGGCTGTCTGCTTGGTGCGGGCCATTTCGGAGACGATCAAATCGCGTGAACGTAAAATCTTATCGGGGATTTGCTCTGAAACGGCGGTGGTTGTTGTAAATCGTCGTCGGAGTCCGGTTTTATAGGTGGGGTTTTGAGAGCGCGGATTGGGAATTCCGGATGTGTTTTCCTGAGAAGAGCTTCTCAGCCGTTGATTGATTTAGAATTTTAATGGCTCAGATTAGATTTGATAGCGTGCTACGGATCGCAATCCTAGTGATGTGAATGTGTCGAATGGGATATAGACACGTGGCGGTAAAGAATTCGAAACCTTTTCAGGTTCGCGCCCAATGTTTCGCGTATCGAGGGAGTAATTTCGAACCAAGATTGGTTAAAGTTAACTTGGCAAACAATTCCAAAGAGTATGTGCTCCCTCCATATCTAATACAAGTAAGAGATAATTACTAAACAATGAAGTAATTATATATTTTTGGTTGGGTAATTTATCTAAATAGGACTAAAACAAACTCCCTCCGTTCCTCTGTATTTGTCCACATTTGACTTTTGGAACTGTTCATCTAAGCACTTTGACTCATCAAATTCTCTCAATATGTAAGCATAAATATAGTCATGTGTGATCTTGTTTGATTTGTCTTAACATATAGATTATTAATATATATATTTTATAATTTTTAAATATACAAATTACAAGATAAAATGGATTAAAGAAGTACATTGGATGGTGTGTAAAAATGAAAGTGGACAAATACAGGGGGACAGAGGGAGTAATAATTTTCTCAATCTAGGATCATGTGTTTTTATTTCCCAATGTAAAACCATTAGTCATTATCTATTAGTCATTATTCAACTAAACGTCCAACATCACTTGGACATTATTCTTCTCATTAGTCATTATTAAGTCCTATTTAGAGAATAAAAAAATTTAAGCCCTACATTGGGAAATAACTTATGTTTGAGTCCTATTTAGTGCAAATTTCACTTTTTTGTTATTATACGAAGTCCCCTCCTCAGGATTCGTTGGAATGTTTTTCCAGTCTCTGAGTCCTATCAAATGCGGAGACATTGGCTCTTTGTGCATCATTAACAAAATACGAACAGACATTACATTATAATACAATCAATTGCACAAATAGAAAAGAAAATTACACAAAATATGACTTCAACATCTTTGTTTAAGTATTTCAGACTGATACTAACAAAAAATTTATAATTACTTCATTGTTTTGTATTCGGATACGAAAAAACTATTTTCATTTAATTCTAACATTTTTCAAATTTATCAATACTACGAAGTATTGAAAACTTGCCAAGAGACATTTTTTGTTGAGATGATCAAATTATGTTTTTTTATCAAACCTTTGATAATAAAAAAATTTAGTACTCCATATAGCTATCACTTTTGATTTAATTTTTAAATATATTTTCTATAGTTTGTTTCGAATTAATTTTAAATCTTTGGCTAAGATGCTCATATTGTTTCTCTTCATGAGGATGCCTACCGAAGACATTTTCATGTGTTTGCCGTTAGGGGTTTGAATCAATTTCAACTCGGACCGAATAACACACTTTTCTTTGACTGGGGACCATCCATTAAAGGACCGCCCCGGGACCGAACCGAATTAGGTTAATTTTTTTTATTTTTTATTTTTGTAAAAATCAATTTTATCTATTTAGTTTAAAATGTCCACTTGTAAAAAAAGGATTACTATTACTAATTTGTAATGTGTAACACACATAAACATTATCAATTTATAATTAAATTTTTTAACATAGTATCAACACCATAATAAAAACATGCATGTTTAAAATATAAATTAAAACTTCAAAAATAATAGTATTCGAGTTCTCCGTACAACACTGAGGATAAAGATACTTCATACACAATTGTGGATAAAAACCCGACCTTCAAATCTTTCATATATATTTTTATAAGTAAAAATAGTAAACAAAAACATTTTAAAAAAGTGTAAAGAATGTTTAAAAAGTTCTTCCATTCATTGTACAAAAATATCATTTTTGTGATAGAACACAAAAATGTAACATTGAACGAATAGAAATGTAAGAAAGAACATTAAGGCTACGTTTGGCATACAAAATTTAAATTATGAAATTAGAATTAGGACAAAAATTTCAATTTTGCTATTTGGTATCACAAAAATATGTGTATTTGTACTTAGTAGTAGCAAAAATGTATTGAAATTGGGGATTCAATTCCATCTAAATCAATTTCATAGAATTTTAATTTCCAATTCCATCAATTATGTGTATCAAACAGAACCCAATAGAATTACTATTTTATTTAAATTGACTATTTAAAAAAGTTATGATAAAAAATTTGAGTAGCATTGAATTAATCTTAAAGTTATTTTAACATGAACAAATTATAAGAAAAACTCCATTAGTTATATTATATTATTATGTAAAAAACTAAAAAAAAATAAAATTTGACTGGTGCACTGATCCGGACTGGAACTCAAATAAGAGATTTCAGAGGACGAAAGATATGACCGGTCCGATCTGGTTTTTACTCAGTTTCGGGTCGGTTCAAGTCCGATCCAAATAATGCACATCCTTATTTGCCATTTGGGCAAATTGCTAAGAAAATTTACATAAAAATAGGGACCGTGTTGAATATTTACGTTAAAATGGAACACCTTGCCAAATATTATTTTACTCGTTTCACGTGTTTGGCATTTGAGTAAAATATGATCATTTTCTTCATGTGGATATTATCAGTAATTTTAGTGTCATCGGACTATTTTGGATAATTGGATTAACTTAGTGATCGGATATCAAACACTATAATTTTTTAAACGAGTTAAGAAGTGTGGAGTAAACGTGCGTTCAATTATATTAATATATGGAATAAGATGAATGACCTATTCAAATAGACACTTACCTATTTAAATAGGTGAGCGTGACTCCTTCGAATAGGTCTTTACCCATTATAATAGTGGAACACACACATATAGTGTTCGTACACACATACAAAAATGTTGGAACAGGTGGAGCCATGGAGGCATAGAACTACCTCTTGTAATTGGCATTTCAAAACAAATGTGTTAACCTTTGCACATTAATCAACTATGATTAGGGATAAGCAAAATAATTGGACTGATCGTGAAACCGAAGACCAAAATAATCGAATTTTCGGTTTTGGTTTCAGTTACCTATTCTCAAATTATCGATTTTTTCAAATATTTCAATCAGTTTTTGTTTCTTTAATTCGGTTTTTGTTTCCTAAGTTCCGTTTCTTTTATTAATTAATTTACCAATTGAAGTGTTAAATAATTTTTTTACTAATAAAATCCACATTTAGAAAATCTTAACTTTTTATGAATTAAATTTGTACATATTTAACAATAGATGTCTTAAATATGCTTTTTTGTTTTTTTGTAATTATAATTTACTTTTATTTTTTATTATTTCATAATTAGAATAAAATTCAAGGTTTGTTCGGTTATTATCGGTTTCAGTTCATTTATGGTTGGTTTCGGTTAATTCGGTCTTAGACTAATGTCGGTTTGGTTTGGTCAGTTATTTTGAATCATAAATTTGTGTTAATTGTTACTCCCTCCGTCTTATAATGATCTTCCCATAGCACTATTCCAACTTCACGTGAATTTATATTTATTTGTGTTTTTTCATGGCCTATATGATAAAATAAAATATTTTTGTCACCACTTGTTTTGTTGAACTTTTGATTTAGTTTTTAAATATGTATGTTTTATTTTTTATTTCTATACCAATATTTAAATAAAATAGATTGAAAAAACTTGGGATTTTTCTTCGTTTTGCGAACCGGGAAGATCATTATAGGACGGATGGAGTAGTTCGATTTTGGACCGAAACCAATGTACCGACCCAATGCTCACCCCTAATTATAGTTCATTGAGCGAGTACAATTTGGAATGCAAATATCAAAATTTAAATTAGAAATACTCCGTTCGTCCCACTCTCTTTGTTCAGTTATCTTTTGACATACCATCCAATGCACTTCTTTAATCCATTTTATCTTGTAATTTGTATATTAAAAAATTATAGAAATTACTACCTCCGTCTCAGAGTATTTGTCCCCTTTCATTTTTACACACCATCCAATGTACTTCTTTAATTCATTTTATCTTGTAATTTGTATATTAAAAAATTATAGAAATTATATATTAATAATCTTTATGTTAAGACAAATCAAACAAGATCATACATGACTATATTTAGGCTTACACATTGAGAGAATTTGATGAGTCAAAGTGCTTAGATGAACAGTTCCAAAAATCAAAACTGGACGAATACTTCGGGACAGAGGGAGTATATATTACTCCCTCCGTCCATAAATAAACTTTACGTTCACTATTCACAGGGTCAAACTTTATTTATTTTGTTGGCCTATTTTCGTCACCCATTTGATAAGATAATATAGTCATGTCACTTCTAGTTTTGTAGATCTTTTGATATAGTTTTTTAATATGTAATTTTTATTTTTTAATTATACACCATTTTTCATATAAAATGATTTGAAAATAACTTCAGTCAAACATCGTAACACGTAATGTAAAATTTAATTTTGGACGGAGGGAGTAATAATCTATATGTTAAGACAAATCAAACAAGATTACATATGACTATATTTAGGCTTACACGTTGAGAGAATTTGATGAGTCAAAGTGCTTAGATGAACAGTTTCAAAATTCAAAAATGGACAAAGAGAGTGAGAGGGAGAATATTATTTACAAATTAGTAATGGCAGCAATGGTGATGGATAATGAAAAAGAAAATTTACTCCCCAATACAAAAACCTAAAATGGAAACTTAAAACACCGCAAGACAAGTAATCGCAGATTCAGCGAAGAACCAGTTTTAAGGGCAATAAGATTATTCATGAAAAAGTAATTTTAAGTAAAATTAAGCTGAAAAATTGTAGTGATTATATGTTCAGTTGAAGAGAGCCAGGAACCAGAAATGGTAGAAATCCGTTTTATCATACGGAATACTAACTTGAATTACACGGCCCAATAAAACAACAAATGGCCAGTAAAAGTGAAGAATTTACCAAATGGAAGGGTAATTTTCATTGGCAATCAGGTAAAAGCAGAGTTCCACCCTAAGATTTACAGCTCGTAAAATTACGCAAGACAGTAAAATGATTTTGAGGAAAAGGAGAAGCATTAAGCCCTCTCCCCGCGAATCCTCCTGGCGAGCTGCATGTCCTTGGGCATAATGGTGACCCTCTTTGCGTGAATCGCGCACAGATTCGTGTCCTCGAACAGTCCGACGAGATACGCCTCCGCCGCCTCCTGCAGCGCCGACACGGCGCTGCTCTGGAACCTCAGATCCGTCTTGAAGTCCTGAGCGATCTCCCTCACCAGCCTCTGGAACGGGAGCTTCCGGATCAGAAGCTCCGTGGACTTCTGGTACTTGCGGATCTCCCTCAGCGCGACGGTTCCCGGCCGGAAACGGTGCGGCTTCTTCACTCCGCCCGTCGCCGGCGCTGACTTCCTCGCCGCCTTTGTCGCCAGCTGCTTCCGCGGCGCCTTTCCTCCGGTGGACTTGCGGGCGGTCTGCTTGGTGCGAGCCATTGTAGCAATTACCGAAGAAAATCTGTTGAATTTAGAATCGCAGAGATTCTGTGAAATGGCGATGAGATTGATTTCGCTTCGGAGACTGTTTTTATAGAGGCGGGATTTGGGAGGGTTTTCCGGAGGCGAGTTTCAACCGTTGATTATTTTAAAGTTTTGACGGTTCAGATTGTATATGGTTATGTGCCCTCGGATTGCAATCCGCGGGAGAGGTTAAGTTCGAATGGTGTTGAGACACGTGGTAAAAAGAAGTTTCAAAGATTTTTATTTGGCGCTTGTTTCCAACTTCCGCGGTCAGATAATTTGCCACTATTCAAAAAAAGAAAATTTTCTTCATCAAAATGAACAAATAAACATTCCTTGAAATCAGAATGAACATTTTCTTCACTCGAAATATTACAGCATTCCTTTGAAAATGAACTAAATTTAATATTATTATTATTTGAATAAAATTATTATTATTTTCATTCTAGTGCATTTGTGTAATTTGATTTGTTATGTCAAAGTAGACAAATTATGAAACTTAATTAAATAAAAACATAATTTATATTACATAAAAATGATTTTATTAAATTTATTTTATTGGATCAACGTTGTTCTTAACCGTTTGGTATCGGTTCGATTTAAGTTGGGAATAAAAAAAATTAATTTTATTTAGAAAGACTATAAACAGTTCGGTACTATTACGATCTATTGTAACGATGGACCTAAAATTGAGTTTTGTTGAGTTGTTGCTAAATTTTAAAATTTATTTTAGAAAAAATATGATCTGTTTCGAGTTATATATTTTTGGGTTATATCCGTAGTATATTTAGTTATGGAATGGATGAGATATATTTCATTTTTTAATTTTACTTCTATTTTCATATAAATTTATTTGAGAATAATTTTAGTTAAATATTGTAAATTACAACAGATAAGGGAAACAACAGATAACTTAGACTTGGACGAAGGAGTATATTTTAAAATCAATTTGCATTTTTGTAACAAAAAACAATTACTTTTGTCCCAATTTTAATAGTCTGTTGTTTATAAGATTTGATTGATGTTAATTTTAAATCAATTTTTTTGAGAATTAGTATATAATTAAAAAATAAAATTTAAAATCTACATCAAAATTTTTACAAAATAATATGTGACAAGACTATATTATTTCTTAAATAGGTAACAAAAAGGCATAAAGACCATAATTAAATTTGACCATGTAAATAATACAAAGACATCTTAAATTGGGGGTGAAAGTCTTAAAACTTTAGACTGAATGTAATTGGGCCCTGTATTGGAATTCCTGTAGGTGAGGCCTGGATCCAGTGTCTTTTGAGGGCCATTCACGTAATTCCACTCGAGAAATCGGGGCGCATCAATGAAATGGGCCTAAATTATCCACCATTATAAACATTATTAGGGTTTCGTCTGGGAACCGATCTGCAGCAGCGGAGCAACTGGAAGGGGATTTCTGAGAGGAGAAGAGACAACAGCTGCGGCGGTGCGAAAATGCAGAGGCCGAACAAGACCAGAAAGGAGGAGGTCGTCACCAGAGAGTACACTATCAATCTGCATAAACGATTGCATGGATGGTATTCCTCTATCTATGTTTGATCTCTCTGTTCATTGTTCAACCATGGCGGTGAATTCATTGCGGTGGATTAGTTTGATCGTTTTGATGTTTTTCTCTGTTCGATTCGCGCTTAAGTTTAACTGCGCGAGTTCATCCATGGCTTTTGCTTATTGTCAGTCTTGTTGAATTACTGAGGATTTGAAATGTGACTTTGATTAGGTGTTTGTCTTGTGCCAGATTTCAAAATGAACAAATGGAGTAGTTTTTGCACTCGGGAAGGGAACTTTTGGGGATTGTTTGTTTATAGTTTAAATAAGGTTCAAATTGCACTTTATTGGGTGTTTGCTATCTGATTCTGATGCAGAATCTAATTGGGATTTTCCAGAAGGATTTTATTCTTTTGAAAGTGTTTTGCATTGTTTGTTCTTATCTTTCTATCTTGTTTCGAATAACATGATTCAAACCAATAACAAAAAAAACTTGTTCCTTTTTAAATGACCCAAAAGGAATACACAACCGCATCTGATACTGTGTATGACTGCTAGGCACACACACACCATTCTTTACTTGCATGCATTCTATACACAACTTTTTTAATGGAAAAGGATATATGATTTTGCTACCTATTTGCTATAGAAGTTCTGAAGAATTATTTCTTCCATTCGTATTTAAATCTTATCATGAAACAAGTTTTACATGCACCAAGCTCCCAAAACCCAAAAATGTATCTGAACCAATGTGAGCTTCAAGAATAAGTTCTAAATATCCCCCTAAATATTTCTCTGGACTTCGCTTTTTTATCTTGGGGGATCTGAGAGTCAATTATGGGATGCCATTCTAGGTTGTCTATTCATTTTTACTCCAAGTAACTGACAGTCTCAAGTCTTGAAACCCATGTCAGCTTGTATGGTTTTTTAACCATCATTTCACAGATGCTCCCTGTGAAATGATAAGAGTTTCTTGTAATTCTAGTCTTATGTTGTGTCCAAATATGGAAATGAGCATCTTGTTTTACACTTTTACCCTTTGTATTTATTTTGAATTTCAAGTGCTCATAATGTACTTTGTAATGAAGATAGTTTACATGATTTGGAATGGTAATAGTACATATAATATTGGAGAAACTTTAAACTCCACAAATCACTTTCAAAGGAATGTATGTATTCCAATTTCCAAGTAAATTTTGGATTTTGGTTGCTCCAGTGTAGAAGTTTTATCCGTCTTTCACTCTGTTTCTGTTCCCTTCATGTCTTTCTAATAACCATAGTTATTTATTTGGAGATTTTAGAGGGGAGGGATGAACCAAACCAATTAAATTGGTTCTACTAACTTGTTATCTATGTACTAACATGCTTTTCTTAGGGCTGACCTTTTTTATTTTAGCACTAGACAAGTATTAGAAATACGAAAAAATTATGTGTCTCATATTATTTCTTCCTCTGCATCACTTACAGCCACACACTATCATCCTTCTAAATAATCGTGCAATTTCCACTTTAGAACCTTTTATTGTGACAGAGGGAGTATATTATTAATTTTATTAATTTTTGGTGGGTTGAGTAGCATTTTGGTTCCTAAATTTTACTCCGTCTCTTATATGATTCTTTATGGACAAATAAAGTTTCTCATAAAACTCATTTTCTTCTGGAGGTGGGAGTATTTCTATATAAATTATCATTTTTATTTGCCTTTCAACCAAATAAACTAAGCTCCATCAAGCTCTCATCAAATCCTCCAACATAGGGTTGGTGCTACAAATACTTGAATAATCTGGTTTGTAAGTTTATGTGAAGTACTAGAATAAGTAATTTCATGTGCTTTTTTTTAGTGTAATAAATTTAGCAACTACATTCATTTTTATATTTGTGCAGCACTTTCAAGAAGAAGGCCCCTAAGGCCATAAAGGAAATAAGGAAGTTTGCCCAAAAGGCGATGGGAACAAAGGATGTTAGAGTTGATGTGAAGCTGAACAAGCAGATATGGAGCAAAGGAATCCGAAGTGTTCCGAGGAGGGTTAGGGTCCGCATTGCCCGAAGGAGAAACGAAGACGAGGATGCGAAAGAGGAGCTCTACTCTTTGGTCACCGTTGCTGAAATCCCTTCCGAGGGGCTCTCAGGTTTGGGCACCACCGTCGTTGAGGACACCGATTAGTTCAATAATAAGGTGCGTTTGTTTGGGACGAATATTCTCGTTTTGCATTTGTCACACTCTAGTTGATCTCTTGTTTTGACTGTTTTTTTGTTGTATGGTTGTGCACTTTTATCCACCTCTTATATTTCCATCTTTTTCATTCAAGTGGGGTTGTAGTTTTGCATTTAATATACTCTGTATGGCAGTGCCTTTAATGTTAAACCTAGCTCGCCTCTTGGGGCCTATTTGGGAATATCGTTAGAGGTTAGTGTTAGCGTTTTGAAAATGCTATTTATGGGTAGCGTTTAGCGTTGGTGTTTTCAGAATTAATATGTACGGTTAATAATTTATTCCAAACGGGCCCTCAGTTTCTTTTTAAGAATCAGTTTTTTTTTTTAACTGAAACAGGAATCATGAAAGGTGAATAAATAAGGTTTGGGAATTTGAACATTAGGTGGCTTTCAGAGTTTCAGTTATGACTCCTCTTTTAGTTTAATCGGATTTTTAAAAATGTGACTTTTTATCATTTTCTCTTCTAAATATAATTCAACCACACTTCATTTTTTGTTAAGCATATTTTTTGCTCTTAAACCTTTTTTTTATATATAAATATGTGAATTCAGATTCTAAGTTTTATTTTGTGCCGAAGCCACGATGAAAGTAGGCAGTACTTTGGAATTGCACAGCCATTTAAAGGAGAATTTCTTAATTTAATAATCCAGCTGTTCCAATAAAATTGTTATACTTTGTTCAAAAAAATCTTTTCGGTTTACTATTAAGATTTTTTGATAATTTATGTTTGTATGGATGTATTCATTGATTTTTGTTTCGTAGAATTATTTATATAGTTTTTTAGCGAAGGGAATAAAATTATATTAATGAAATGATGAAGTCAGAGGGAGAAATGTTCCATTCTCCCCGGCTCTGAGGTGAATGAGAAGCTCGCGCTAGTTTTGAACGGTGTTATTTGAACTTGTTTTTTTATTAATTTGTCGTTAAAAGTACTTTTTTAAATGTGATTTTGCATGTTTTTCCTCAAAACGTCCCTTGTCAATAAGACAATTGATTTTGCAACGCTTAATTTACTCTCGTGTATAATGGTAACTATTCTCAATTGTTTCAATGAAAACTTTGCAAAAACTATTCTCAACCGCTCATGATTATTTTGCATCGACTATCTTCAACCATTTTAACCAAGGATTTCACAATATTTATGAAAATTTAATAGCTATCTTTTTCACTGTTTTAAGATTTTGCTCATAATTAATTTGCAACGGCTATCTACAACCGTTTACAGAACATATTAGTCCGTATAAGGACAATGCAACTCTACAACCACAACAAAGAAATACTATAACATCGAGAAAGAATAAATAAACGTGATCGAGTATACATTATGACACAACAAGCATGAAGAAAAGTGATCAAGGAACACTTTATATGATGCATTCTTTATGCACTAAGAGCTTGTATAGTGATATTCGGTCCCAAAATCTCTTTCTTCTTTTGACTTTTATGAAATTTAAGTTAGGAATATTTTTGTTTTAATTTTTTAAAAATATTTTAATTTAATGTGATTGGTAAAAGTAGAACATTATAGGTAAATTATTAATGAATAGATATGATGAGATAGGTAAGATTAAATTCAATAGAGATAAATATAGGTTTCTAATAGAAAAAAGGTATTTTGGGACGACGAAAAAATAAGAGATTTTGGGTTGGAGAAAGAGAAATTTACAAAAATACTGTATCAAAATAGCATTTTGGAGCATTGAAACTAATAACAATAGTTAATTAATTAATTAATTAGGTACATGTTAAAGAAACTAAAAATGTGGTACTAAATAGTGGAATTAGCTACTACTCCGTATATGTTAATACCCTTTGGGTAAATTTGTTTGGGAAAAAAATAATGTTCAAACGAACGAAACTCAAATTAAAGTGGAATTTTTTGTACTTGGACGACACTATCAATGACACCAGAATCGCCATCGGTTGTGTTATATATCATCAGAATTCGAGTAGGTTTTCAAGGTTGTCCTCGATAGACCACTCTGCCATTGTTCCCGGGCGACACCTCCAGTGCTAGCAGTACAGCCACCGACTACTATCCTTAGTCTGGAAATTTTCGATCAACTCGAGCTTTTATTAAGTTTAAAATCTTTCAAATATATAAAAAAAGGTATAAGAACGAGATGTGAAAATGGTTGAATGTACTTGTTGTGCATAGAGTATATGAAACACATTTATTTGACAAAATATCCTGTAAACTGTTTACATTCGTTTGGTGTTACGATCACCTTCTTGTGAAGTGTTACATATAATGGACACATGTTATTTCAGCACATTTAAGTAACCTTGTTAACACACTAAAAAAAAGTATACTGTGATCTTGCATATTATTTATCAATACCAAAAATTAATTTTAGTAAATTAAATGAAAGACTAACATTTTTTTCCTTTAATAAAAAAATCCCGTCCTAGAAAATCCTTTTTCTTTTCTTGTCTCACAAACTCTTCCCTTTTATATTTAAAGACCACGTTTATCTCTACTAAATTTTAATCTAATTATCACATCAAACCTTTTTAAGTATTAATCTATCCATCACATCAAAATAGAAACATCATTATGGGACGGAGCACTATTTTATTAAGTCAACAAATACACAAAAAAAAAGTGTGTAACTTTTCTATGGAACAAGAGGTATCAAACACATCTAAAACACGGACAATCGCATTAGGAAAATTATTGAAAATAGCGCAACAATGTCTCTTGTTTGACATCATATTCCACACATCGTTTGAATTGTTTTTATAGGAAATCACTAGATTAAAACATAGAGAAAAGTATCAAAATAAAATTTTCATATTTAATTTTCAAAATAGAATTTCGCATTGTGGTAATGTGGCACTGTACATTTGCACATTATTATACTTTTTGGTAATATACATGATCATATTTGGTAATGTAAATGCATTTTAATTTATATATCGAAAATAAAAATATGGAAGTCTTATTTTAATATATTTTCAATGTTTTATTCCTACTTTTGTCATTTCCCTTGTTTTTTCGGTAATATCCTTCTTTGGTATTCTATTCATTTTTTTCATTAATTGTCTATAATTACTTTAATGACACTAATTGAAAAATGAATTAATGCCAACCTATTTTATGCCCACATTCATTCATTTTCTAATGTATCATTAAAATTTTAATAGACAATTAATAAAGACTAAATGTTAGTCTGTATTAAAAATGATGTCTTTGTTGAGTATTAAAGTGTAAATGCACAATTAAAATACGTGATCCTGTTCTAGTTTTGAAACAGTATTTTCAAATCATTTAGCGTTTTAAATATTTTTTAGTGATACAAATTAAATTTAAAAATGTTAAAATTAAACATTGGCCGTGTTTGGAAAACAGCATTTGGGATAGCTTTTGGCATCTTTGATTGACTTTGGCTTTTTTGACCTAGTGAACCGCCAAAACCATTGTTTGGCTACTGGCATTTTCACTTGGCATTTTGATCCGAAAAGCCAAAATCTGAAATGCCAAGGGGAGTAGCATTTAGACTTGGCGGTTAGGAAAAATAATTTTTTTAAAATCATTTTTGTTGAAAGATATTTTATAATATATGTAAAAAATAAAAATAAAGGTTAAAAAAATTAAATACGAAAAAAATAAAATGAAATTTAAAAAAATTTTATATTTATAATTCATTAAAAAATTTATATTTATAATTTATTATGAATTAAATGAAATTAAAATTTAATACTCCATATAGTNAGCATTTAGACTTGGCGGTTAGGAAAAATAATTTTTTTAAAATCATTTTTGTTGAAAGATATTTTATAATATATGTAAAAAATAAAAATAAAGGTTAAAAAAATTAAATACGAAAAAAATAAAATGAAATTTAAAAAAATTTTATATTTATAATTCATTAAAAAATTTATATTTATAATTTATTATGAATTAAATGAAATTAAAATTTAATACTCCATATAGTAAAGATTTAATTTTTTCATGTAAAAAAATGAAAAATAAATATCGTGTGTGTGTATATATATAATTTTTTATTTAATTTTTTAAATTTTTAAAAAAAATTTATGATATGATATTTAAAAAAAATTATAAAATAAAATATACCATAAATGGAGGAATGTCTTTTTATATAATTTTTCTTACAAACAGCTAACTATAAACAGCTAAACTTGGCAAACACTTAAAATTTAACTGCTAACAGAAACTGCCGGTCAAAAGAGCTAACTCAATCAGCCATTCAAACCAACTAACATAAACAGCCAACTGCCAACTGCCAGTTTCCAAACAAGGCCATTGTCAATAGATACATTCTCAAAATATAAAGGTTAAAGGCTAAAGGCTAAAATTATTTATTATCAGCGGGCCACCCTAAGAACATGACAAATTGCAAAAAGAGGCAGCCTTTTATTGGCCAGGTAAGCCAGCCACGTGCCATGCCACGTCCGAGTCCAAGGCAACTATGCGTGCCATAAATACCCAATTTTATTTTTCATTTCTATAGAGAGAGGCGGGAAATTAGTAGGAAAAACTCGCGAGAAGTGCACCGAGTGTCCGAGACGAAACATATTGCTCATCTCATGATATATTACTGTCTTCGTCTTTTTTTATACTTTCTCCGTCCACCTAAGATCTTTCTATTATGCGTTATGAGACTTTTCTTTATTTTTAATTCAATTTATTTGAATGTAGAGATAAAATTTTAATATAAAATTTATGTAATAATAAATTACATGAAAAATTCTACAAAACTAGAAGTGACAACACTATACTGTTTTATAAATGAGTAGTAAAATAAAAAATAAAGTGATTTAATTTTGACCATGCAAATAGGGTATGAGAAGATCTATGGATAGAGGAAGTATCTTTTTTTTATTTTTTATGATATTCAATCCAATGACTTATCTTTCTCTAATATGATCTGAATGTAATTATATATAAATTTGTTTTTTATCTAATTTAGTCTGATGTGATTCAAATCAAAAATAATAATAAATAATAAGAATAAGTTAAAGAGCGCATGACTCCACTATATATATATATATATATACACACACACACACACATACATATAATATTTTAAAAATATATTTTAAAATAAAATTTATTGACATTAAAGTTATATCACAATTTAAAGTATTTTTTCTGTAATATATTCATAGTCAAAGTTGACTGCAAAAGTTAAATGGAGGAGATTCAAAAAGGTTGGAGGGAGGACACATATCTTACTCTCTCTATCCCAAATTATTTGCAACGTTTGCTTTTTCAGCAGTCGCGGGAACTTTTGTTTATTTCTATGTTTTCATTGGTTATTTGATAAAATTAAATATTCTTGACACCTCTTATTTCGAAAAACTTTTCATGTAGTTTTTTTATATGTAAATTTTATTTTTTATTTCTATACCAATATGTAAATAAAATGAATTGAAAAACCTTGATATTTCACCTCGGGAATACAAGTGTGGCAAATATTTAGGGACGGAGGGAGTACCAAGTTGTAAACGGAGTTAACGGACCACTATTTTTTTAATAATAAGTAGACTCCATGAATAGTTCTTTGGACTAAGTAGGTGTTTATCTGTAGTGATGTTTATTGACTTATTATTGATAAGCAGTTTTTAACTTGTAAGTTATCTATAAGTTAAATATTCTTTTGTAAAATAAAATAACTTAAAAGATATATAAATTATTTGTAAATATTCATAAATGGTGGGATGGAGGTCAATTTTTTAAATAATCTTGTTAAAACAGAGAAACAAAAAATCTGGCTTAAAAATAACAAGTCATTATTGTTACTCCACTTTATATTCTTGTCCCTTAACTCTATATATATATGTGTGTGTGTGTAAATAATCATATAAATAAATTTTTAAAAAATTTAAACCTTCACAACATAAAATCAAATGGAATAATTTATACGGAGTACTCCATAGTTTAATTTTTATTTTCTCTGTCTATGAATCTTTGGATTCTTTTAAATACCGTGTAAAATATCATTTTTAAATTAATTTTATTTACAAATTGATAAGAAAATAAGAGGTACTACGAAGATATTTCTAACATTTATTTAGTAAAATTTTTTATATAAATTTTTTTGAAGCAAGGTCATACTCTTTATTCACCAAACTCTAAACAATATACAAAGCCCATCGGAAAAAAAACATACTATTATGGTATTTAATACTCTCTCGCGTTCTAAAAACTTTCCTATTTTATTTTTTTAATCAAACAGTGACACTCTTTGATCATAAACTAAACATAATCTAAATTAATAAATAATACTCCGTATAAAGTTTGACGTATCAAAACTATATCCTAAGATAAACCTAATTATATTAAATTTATATTATAACTAAATATATTTTTCTCACAATTTGTGTTTTATGAATGTCATTGTTTGACAAAAAAAAGTCAAAATATGAAAAATTTTTAGGATTAGAGAAGGTATTAGAGATGAAAAATTCTAGAATGACCCAAATGATTGCTTCCAGGGGTACACTCATACTTCGGACAAATGATTACCATCCGTATCGCATAGATGATTATCATCAGTGTCATATGTATGAAATATAGGTGCACCCCTCGTATCAACCATTTGAGGATATCCTAGCATGACCCATTAGATATAGCCTCTTCCTCTTTTAGCTCTTTTTGGTGAGTTTAAATTATTGCCTTTCATATAGTTTAGCAAGTTGCCATCCATTCTTTTTACTCTTTAGGGTGAGTTTAAATTTATTGCCTTTCATATAGTGTAGCAAGTTGCCATCCATGATTCAAAAGAGTTTGATATAAATTTTTAATATGTATAAGAATATTAGAATACAATTGGTTTAATCACCTCTTTCAACTTATGATATTTGATAAAAATTATTTTCAATACAATTTATTAAAGAATTGAAACAAAATTAAAAAATAAACTATCTATTTTAAGAACTACTTTAAAAATTCTACCACTCCCTCCGTCCCGTTTTAAATCGCTCGTTTTAACTTCGGAACATATTTAAGGAAGAGAAAAACAGAGTTATTTTTCAAAATTGGCATTGCTTTTTAGGAGGGGTGGCGATGAATGAGAAAATAAGGTGAAGAAGTGTGACTTATTTTAGGGGTAGTTTAGACATTTTACTCTTAAACGTTTACGATAACAAGAAAAGATAACTTATTTTGGGACGGAGAAAAACTGAAAACATGCAATTTAAAATGTGACAGAGAAGTACGAAATAAGGAGTGACATGATTACATTATTTTATCTGATTAACAAAAATAGAAAACAAAAGTAAATGAAATTTAATCTTATAAATAATAAATGAACAACTTAATTTCAATAAAAGGAGTAGAATTTTTATATGTAAGTTTTAAATATATATATAAGAAAATTTATACAAATTTTTTATATAAATTGTTTGATATATTCTTTAGTGCAAAAAATTAATGATATAAAAATATTTTATTTTATTAAGTAAATAAACAAAAAAATATCGAAAGTAAAAAATAACTAGACCAACTTTCAAAAAAAAGGTACGAAGTATGTTTTTATGTGAAATCAGGTCGTTTTAATGTGAAATCAAACCGGAACCGCCAATATAATCCGATTAATCTTTTATTTTTAGATGAAAAAAGCCATAAAAAACCGACCCCATCACAAATAAAACCGCCCATTTTCTTTTCTGATAATTCACTCGTCATATTCGCGTCAAGTCCATTGAATATCGCGAATTTCTCACGAAGTTCACCGATCCTTTCTACGTCATGGGGCCTGCGAAACGGAAATTTGACAATTTTGCCCCGAACTCCCCACCTAATTTACCACGACATGTCCCCATCGGCCGTTCCCGTCTCATCATCTCATCTTAGCTTTAATCACCACCAGAAGAAATGAAAAAAGCTCTGAAGAAACGTCAAAATTCAGATCTTCAAATCTGATTCGAATCAAAACCAATTTCAAAACACGATCGAAGCTTTTGAAATTAATTGGCGAACTCAAAGATGCAATCTTTATCAATCTTTCAACCAGAAAAAGAATTGAAATTGAAGAGAAAGTGAAATTCGAAATAAGATTAATCATCCATGAATGAATTACAATCGGTACAGCCAGATTTTATCATCACAACAAATAATTACGGATTTTTCTCACTATTTTTTCCGATCCATCATTTCTCTCGCCGGAGAGAAGAGAAAACAAACAAGTGCGGAGGAGATCGCCGGAGGCGGCGACCTCCGATCTGTAGTTGCGTTGCGAAGACAGTTTCACTTCCGGTAGATGCGTATTGGTGAGTTCTTAACCTTCAAAGTTTGAATATTTTTGCTGCTCTGACGACCGGATTCTCCTTGGCGATGGCATCCCGGCCGGCGGATTTGTAGTCGTAACTGCAATCGTGGCGGTCGGAGTACCGGTGTTCGCCGCAGAAGAGCTCGCCGCACCGGCAGCGAAATCCGGTCAGACCGACCTTCCGATTGCATCCGGAGCAGCGATTCACCTCCCTCTTGGCCGGAGACGGCGAGCTAGCATCCGCTTTCTCGTCGATTCTCACAGGCGAGTCGCGCTTGTTCAGATCTGGAACCATCCGCCCGGGAGACGACCTCCGGAAGGTAGATCTGGGGGTTTTCTCGGCGAACTTGTGCGGGATCGCCACCGACGAAGCGGAGACGGATCCGGCGGCGGCGGCGAAGCACTTCTGACACATGTTATTGGTGGCCGGGCTCCCGGTGACGCCGCAGTTGTTCACGCACGGCGTGATGGTCTCCGGCACCACCTTGAACTCCGTCTCCTCCTTCTCCGTCTTCTGTACCATTTCTCCGATCGCCAAACAAACAAAAACAAAAAAACCAGAAATTCAAATCGACGGATTGATTCAAAAGATGTAGAGAGAGAGAGAGAAAGAGAGATGAATCGGGGGAGATAGAGAGAGAAAGAGAAGGGTATGGGTTTGGGAAGACGATGGGGAGGGGAGATTTAAGGGAGGAGAGAGGGGTCGGCAATGGCGATAGAATAATGGTCTCTTTGGGGACGCGTATCACGCAAATTGGAGGGCGCTGTATGGACCAAAATGCCCGCGATACTTTTATTTTTCTTCTTTTTCTTTAATGTAAGATGATTAGCTCTGACGTGTTATTTAATTAATCTGCCCCCTTTTCTTTCTTCTTTCCTTTTAATGCCCCTCCCGTCTCTAAATGACGTTTAGCTTTTTTTTACTTTGGTCCCTTTGGTCGCCATATATTAATTTTAGCGTTTTAAAAAAATTATCTCATAATAACTTTTAATATTATGTTTTCAAAATTAATTTACATTATTAAATTATATTCAAAATATTAACACAATAACATCGTTGTCAGATAAGCCTTTTCACATTCAGCTAACAAATCGGCCCCGACCGGTCGGATTGGAATTTGGTTACTCCAAATTCTGTGGATAGGAATCAAATTGAGAATTACATGTACATCACCCAGTGTAATGGGATTTGAATTGCCTCAAGGGTAATGATATTTATTTTTAAAATATTAAAATTCATACTGACACTTGTATTTTACATATAAAAAATAAAATGTACTCTATATGCTATTTATTTTGAATTTTTAATTGCCTTTTAGATATATTTAACAATATTAGATTTTGAAATACTCTTATATTAGCAGGTCGGTTAGATTGAGTTCGAATTAAGACAGGATCGGGCATTTTTAGCGAGTCATTTCGATTCAATCGTTTTCGAATTAGGTCAACGAAACCATTGTTTAAAACCTAGTACTTTTAGATCGGGCCAGTTTTGCCAAGTCCGCTTTCACATGTATTAAAAAAAGATTTCCCAATACGGCGTGGTATGTTTGATTGAAGTAGAAAATAGAAAGAAAGAAAATTAGAGAAAAAAAGACAAAGTTTGGAACATTTTCTTATTGGCCAAATAGCTCCAGTGCCCCTGTGGTTTGGAATAAAAATAAAAAGTTAACATATACTCCATCTCTCTCAAATTAAAAATTTTAATTATTTGTTTTCTAGAATAATGTTTTTGGCAAGTTCAAAAAGAAAATGAAAAATAAAAAAAATAAAAATATGGAAAAACGAAATAAAAAATTGAAACATCTAAAAAAGAATCTTATACAAAAAGAAATTTTTAGAAGTTTAAAAAAGTCCTTAGAATTGGGATGTCCAACAAGATTATTCATTTTTATTTTTTATTATATTTTAATTTATTTCTTATTTTATTTCTCATTCTTTGAAGTTCTCAAATTTTAATTACTTTTTTTTTATAGAAATTTTCTCATTCTTTGATGTCCAACAAGGAAATTTTATGTTTTTTTTCAGTTTGATGTCCAACAAGGAAATTTTGAATTTCTTATTTTATTTCTCATTCTTTGATGTCCAACAAGGAAATTTTATGTTTTTTTTTTCAGTTTTTTGTATATTTGTTCACACTTCATGTACGAAATTAGGATGTTCACAGTTCATTTCCCAGTTTGTTCACTCGTCTATGTTTCTTGGATTTTTTTTAATTTTCACAGGTCAATCTAACCTAGAGGAAAACAGAGAACTTGGAAGTGATGGATAAGAATCACAAGATGGGTTTTAAAGTACAGAGAGTAGCCGAACAGATTTAAGAAAACCCATGGGCAAGCGATCTCTTTCTTGGGGCCACTTTACTATCTACTTTACGAAAGACAAAAAGCGAAGAGCTCAATGTAAGTATTGTCCCAAAAATTATGCTTGTGATTCCTCAAAAAATGGTACTACTAGAATGAATAATCACATGAAAGTGTGTAAAAATCATCCTGACAATAAGTGTGTTGAAGAGAACCAAACAATCACAAACTTTTGTCAAAGCTTGGCTCGAACTGTTAAAGACATTAGGAATTGGAAATTTGACCAGTTACTTGTTAGGAAGGCATTAGTATTTATGGTCATAAAAGATGAGCTACCCTTTAAGTTTGTTGAAAATGAGGGGTTTCGGGAGTTTGTATTTGCTGCATGTCCACAATTTGTTGTTCCATCAAGAACAACAATAGCAAGAGATTGCTATAACTTGTTTGAAGAGGAGAAAAGTAAGTTAAAGTCTTACTTTAAAAGTACAGGTCAATGATTGTCATTGACCACTGATACTTGAACATCAAATCAAAAGATAACATATCTTTGTTTGACGGGTCATTATGTTGATAGTGATTGGAAAATGAGAAAAGTGATATTAAACTTTATTACTTGTCCATCACACAAAGGGGATGAAATTGGATTTTTGATTGAAAAGTGTTTGTTGGACTGGGGAATAGATAAGATTTTTACCATAACTGTTGATAATGCTTCTTCGAATGATATTGCTGTGGGTTATTTGAGAACAAGATTGATTAATTGAGGTTCTACAATACTGGAGGGGAAATACTTGCATGTAAGATGTGTAGCTCATATTGTTAATCTTGTTGTTAAAGATGGTTTAAAAGATATGAATGAATCTGTTGAAAGAGTTCGTACAGTTGTGAGATATGTGCGACAATCTCTATTGAGACAAAAAAAGTTTAATGATTATGCTCTTGAAGAAAAAGTACAAAGCAAGAAAGGATTGTGCTTGGATGTTCCCACTCGTTGGAACTCTGTGTATTCAATGCTTGAGAGTGCAAGTGTATACAAAGCTGTTTTTGACAGGTACAAGACCCAAGATGCTGATTTTAGAGCTGATTTTTCGCCCAAAGGGGTGCATGGAGATCCAGGTTTTCCTTTAAACACTGATTGGGTTGTGGTTGAAAGGTTTGTGAAAGTCTTGCGTAATTTTTATGAGCTCACAAAAAGGATATCTGGTTGTACATATGTGACATCAAACACATTTTTGGATGAACTTAGTGATATGGATGAGCTCTTGAAAGAATGGGTTTTGAGTAGTGACAAAGATTTAGCAGATATGGCGTTTAGTATGAAGTCAAAGTTTGACAAGTATTGGGGAAATGTGGAGAAAATGAATAAGTTATTATACATTTCTGATGTCCTTGACCCTCGCCACAAGATGAATTATTTGAAATACGTTATAAAGAACATGCATGGGGAACTTGTTGGAGGGAAATTGACGGAATCAATAGATAAGGCACTAGTTGAAATTTTTAATGTGTATAAGTCCATGTATTCCACTCCAACCTCCTCTGTCACTTCTCTAGATCCTTCAAATACTTCATCTGGTGCACATGGTGCTTCCGAAAGTGACATGGCAGAAAGAAAAAACATAAGACTCCACAAAAAAGGTATATGCAAATGTTATCGGAAATTGGAGTGTGTGATCAATCTGAGTTGGACTTGTATATACAAGAGCCAATTGTGAAAGATCATCCACATTTTGACATTCTTGATTGGTGGAAAGTCAATAGTCCAAGGTTTCCGATTTTATCCATGTTAGCTCGAGATGTGTTGAGGATGCCAATAACTAGTGTGGCTTTAGAATCTGTCTTTAGCACTGGTGGGTGTGTAATTGATGACTTTAGGTCTTCATTAACTCCAAAGATGTCACAAGCTTTGATTTGCACACAAGATTGGCTCCGTCATTCTCCTATTTGTTGCGTGGAGGAAGAAGAAGAATTTTGTCAAAAACTCGAGAAAGGTAAGTTCCTAGAATGCATAAATACTCTTCATAGTTAATCTTTTGATTATTTTGTTTCATAGCAATTTAAGTTTTTTTAAACTGTTTTTTTCTTATAGAGTTGGTGATAAACCATGGAGTTGACACTAATATTCTTGGATTATGATTACCCCTTGGATTGGAGTCTAGTATTTGGTAAATGGTATTATTATTTATATCTTAAATACTTAAGATTACTGGCAATTTATTTATTTGTTTCATATTTCCCTTTACAATTTTTTTACAAGATTGTTAGAAGCATTGGAGATCTGAAGTTGTTGGAGAATGGATATCATGAAATAATAAATGTTTTTTGGAATGGACAATTGTATTATTTCTACAACTATTTTGTATTGTATTATGTGATGGATCTAATTGTGTTTTGTTATTTTGACTTTGTAGTATGTAATGGATTTAAACATCATGAATCTAATTGTGTTTTGTTATTTTAAATTTGGAGAATATACAGAATCTTTAGAGTTCAAAGTCCTTTTTTTCGGTTTTTGGTAAAACCGTTTACCAAACCGAAATATTTCAGTTTGGACCGAACCGATTAAGTTAATTTCGGTTCGGTATTCGGTACAAAAAATAAATAACCGAATTTTCAGTTTACCGAATTTTCGGTTCGGTTCGGTACGGTTTTACCGAATGAACACCCCTATTAGAAAATAAAAAATAAAAATTATTAACTTGAGTGGTATAGATGTAGTATGTGTTTTTTTTCAAACAAAAATAATTTTAAATTTTAAGAACAGTATAAAAATAATTTCAAAAAAAATTAAAAAACATTGATTAATAAAAGAAACAAATAAAGGGAAAAACAAAAAATAAACAAAAAATAAGAATGAGCACCAAACCCCATACGGTTTGGAAAAATAGGCATCAATAACTCCTTCTTCGTTGAAAAAATGGCCAAAACGAGAGGATATGAATGTAATGTTTTGAAACTACGGTGACTTTAGAAATAAGTTTGGAAATTATGGAGAATATTAGTGTCTATTTTCCAAACCACAGAAGTAGTGGCGCTATTTAGCCATTTCTTTTGCTAAATATAAGAAAAAGAAAAAGAAGAGAAAGAAAAATATGGGGCCACACAAACTTTTCACTTCACGAAAAAATGGGACGGGTCGACAAGAGCATCATCTATTTTGCTTTTTTTTTTTTTTCCATTCTCACATTTTTCTTATTTATCTTTATTTTCTATACATTCAAATAATACTCCGTAATTATCATAATAATTATTTTCTTTACATTTTTTCTCTCATTTTCTTTTTCTTTTTTCCATTCTTCTCTTCTCATCCAAATAAATCATAAGAGATGGTGTAAGTGTCACCCAAAATTACTAACCTACTAGCACTATTGATTATGAATAACAACCAATAGAAACTAGTACAGAAAACTATTTTAAATAATGTAGCTAGTGCTATTGGTTTATGAGTTTTTGTATCGACCTTTAGAGTAAAATATATATGAGTTACTTATGTAGTTGCTTAGGTGATATGGCATTAAAAATAAAAAATGTGTATATATCTTAAACTCCATCCACTAGAGATGTTTGTTTAAGTTCTTAATTGCAATTCATATTTTAAAGAGATATTTAAAAGGCAAAATAAGGGGTTTTAAAATTATTTTTATAAAAAATCATATTGAAATAAAAAAAACTTTCATTTTGTTCCATAATTTCATCTCAATTCTCTGCAGGGTGTATTACTTTCGGCAAACTTTCATATTTGTATTGTGGATTTTGTTTTACCACATACTACTATACATCAACTAAATTATGTCGAGATAGTACAACATGATGAACTCTATGTTGGGGAACTTCATGTTTTATTGGTGTTAGAGTGCATCCCACATCGGAAGTCCAAGAGTAAAATAATTGGTATATAAGTTCTTGAGTTTAACTAACTAATCGATTGGATTCAATCTTTTAATGTGGTTCAACCCAAGCGTCTTATAGCCCAATCCAGTTGCCCACCCCATCCTAAATTCTATCATGGTATCAGAGCAGGTTTTGGCCTACCTCGTTTGTCAAAGTGTCCGTCTAGACATTAATTTCCAGCGGCTCGTTAGTCTTTAGCCCAGTTGTCCGTATGGAGTATGTACCTAACGATTGTCCACTTGAGGGAGAGTGTTAGAGCGAGTGCATCCCACATCGGAATTCCAAGAGTAAAGTAATTGGTATATAAGCTCTTGAGTTTAACTAACTAATCAATTGGATTCAATCTTTTGATGTGATTCAACTCAAACGTCTTATAGTCCAATCCAAATGTCCATAACCCATCCTAAATTCTATCAATTGGAGACTTTTAATTTCTTTAATTTATAGCGAAATTGGTTTAGATGAAAGAGTGTGTGTTGTTGATGATTTTGTTAAGCTCAATGCAATGCCAAGTTGATTTTTTTGCAACAAGTTGATGTTGTTTATTTCCACTTTTTTATTTGAGGGATTACATACACCTCTTTTAATATTGGGGAAGGTTCCCATGACATTGGGAACCAATGTCATGGGATGACCCGGGGGCGTTCCGGTGCCCCATTCATAAACAATAAAAATGAGATCTTATGATAAAAATGAGAATACATGTGGTGCTTTGCAGTGTAATGTGGTGAACTTTGTCATCTCACCGAAGCATGTTATCTCACCGTAAGGTGTCATCTCACTGGAGCCAATCCTATATATATATATATATATATACATATACATATATATATATATATATACATACATATATATATACATACATACATACACACATATACATACACACACACACACACACACATATATATATATAGATTTTGGTTCTGGTGAGAATGCGATCTTAGGAGAGAAATGAGAATGAATCTGGTGCTTTAGATTGTGCGATCTAAGGATCATGATTGCATCAAAATTATGTGCAACAAAATGGTTTGAAAATGCATCACGTCGAAATGCATTATAATCCTTTGAAAATGCACTATCTCAAAATCTGAATGCAGGATGCAATCTGAGCCGCACGATGCATCAGATCCGACGGCTAGATTTCATTCTCATTTCTCTCCACAAGGTGCATTCTCACGGGAACCGGCCCCTATATATATATATATATNCTTGTGGAGAGAAATGAGAATGAAATCTAGCCGTCGGATCTGATGCATCGTGCGGCTCAGATTGCATCCTGCGCTCAGATTTTGAGATAGTGCATTTTCGAAGGTTTATGGTGCATTTCGACGTGATGCATTTTCGCACCATTTTGGTGCATCTAATTTTGATGAAATCTTGACCCTTAGATCTCACAATCTAAAGCACTAAATTTATTCTCATTTCTCTCCTAAGATTGCATTCTCACCAGAACCAAAATCTATATATATATGTGTGTGTGTGTGTGTGTGTATATATATATATATATATATATATATTTCTGAGTAGGATAGTAAATATATATTGTTCATTATACATTGAATATTACTACATTTTAGAAAATAAAGATGGACCAACAAAATGTTCTTATGAATTATTTCATTTGCTGTAGGGCATGGCATATGTCCAAACAAGTTGGGAAAATTATATTATATTCCAAAACCATTAGAAATGGGTGAATCCCTTTGAAATGGTTGCAAGTGTGCAACCTTTTTCTTAAATAAAATATTCATTCCTACGTGGGACCCTCGCAACATATATCAATAAAAAATAAAATACTATTGTACACCATCAAAACTCACTTTTTAAATTTTTGTTCACTTTTCCTCAAAAAAGCAAAAAAAAAAATCACTTGGTCATTAAAAAATGCCTACTATTTTTAAGTGTCGGTTTGGTAAGCTTTTTCATTTTTATTTATTGGGAAATTTGATATTTGCATTCCATATTTGTTCAAATATTTGACTATAGTTAAGCCTTTTATTTTTTACTTAATTTTAATTTTAATTTAGTGATTTTTTAAAGATATTTTAAACTCCATTATATATGTTTAATTCAATAACTTTCAACTAAAATTCAATTTATTTTAGTCGACTAAAACTGGATTTAGTTAAATGGAATTAAATTTATTAGATTTGGTCGAAAAAATACCCCTAAATGTAAATATTTTCACCGTTTATAGCCAAAAAATTACTCTGGGTACCCTTGATTTTGTGGTAATAACTCTCATGTCTCACATTATCGGAAATATACCCCTTCGTGTCTTTAATTTTCTGGTAAGACCTCTCAGGTCCCACATTATTTGAAATGTACTATGAGGGTCTTTGAAATTAGTGGTAATGTACTATTTGAGTATATTTCGTCTAGTTGACCGTTAAGTTTAAAAGTTTTGGTACTTAGGTAATGTACTATTTGGGTACTACACATAGCTACTTAGGTAATGTACTATTTTGATACTTAAGTAAGGTACTATTTTGGTACTTAGGTAATGTACTATTTGGGTACTACACATATTTCTCAAGAAACGAGTATTTAGGTATATGGAAATTTATTTAAAAATGCTAGCTCATTTTTTAAAAGTCCCATAACCAGTAAGACGAGAAAGACGAACAACTCAAGCAAGAAAGGTGAGAAAAGCGAGCGACTCAGGAGCCGTCAGTTTCACCTCTTGAAATTGAATCCATACCTACTACACGAATAACCAAACCCATACTTGATACACAAGCATCGGCCGACAGTCCCACCGGTGTCTTGCTTCCTCGGCCCTCCTCTCCTAATCCCATGCATCGTAGCCTGCATGAGCGACGACCTCCTGCTCAGTTATGTGACTTCGTCGTTCACAACATTCAACACCCATCAGTTGCTCACCCGGTCCATGATTTGCCTTCAGGTACAGCCAATTGTATTACAAATTATGTTAATTATGACTATATTTCATTATCTTATAGATGTTTTTTTAGCAACTATAAGTGCATACGTTGAGCCGACAAACTTTTTAGATGCAGTCAAACACTCACCCTGGAGATAGTCTATGCGCGATGAAATCACTACTTTGGAAGAAAATGGTACGTGGTCTATCGTCCCTCTTCCTCTAAGACGAAAGACTATTAGCTCCTAATGGGTGTTCAAGATAAAACATAACTCGGATGGGACTATAGAACACTACAAGGATCATTTGGCGATTCTTGGGAATAAACAACGTGAAGGAATTGATTTTAAAGAGACTTTTACACCTACCGCTAAACTAGTCACTGTCCGGACTCTTCTTGCGGTGGAAGCGGCACGCAAGTGGAGCTTGCATAAGATGGATGTGCACAATGTTTTCCTTCATAGGGATCTTAAAGAAAAAGTCTATATACGACTTCCTCCAGGCCTAAATTCTTGTCCCAAGGGGCGTGTATTCCGGCTGCATAAATCTCTTTATGGACTACGACAGACTCCCCGTTACAGGGTTGACAAATTAACTGCCTCACTACGTGATTATGAGTTTATTCAATCTAAGGCTGATTATTCTCTCTTTACATATGCTAGGGTGGGCGTGGAGATTCGAGTTCTTACCTATGTGAATGATCTTATTATTGCAGGAACTAATGAGACTATAATTACACGTTTCAAGAAGTTTCTTTCTGCTCAATTTCACATGAAAGATCTGGGTTTGTTAAAGAATTTTTTGGAAATTGATGTTGCACGCAATGAAGATGGCATCTTCTTGTGTCAACGAAAATATGTCGTGGACATCCCTATCCTCGCTAAGGCAGGCATGTTAAGAGCTCGAACTGTCGTTACGCCATTGCCCTATAATCATCATTTGCATTAGCAACAGGGCCCAAGTTGTCTAATCTTCCGGTACTGACGTCTGGTTGGTGTTTGATCTATTTGACTATTTCTCGTCCCGATCTAGCATATGTTGTTCACAATCTGTCTCAATTTATGGATTCTTCTTGCCAGGATCACTAGGATGCGATGCAACATGTGCTTCGTTATCTTGATCGTGACCCCGACAAGGGCTTTTCCTTCATGTAGCTTGTGATCTCTCTCTTACTGCATATTGCGATTCTGATTGGGCAGTTACCCGATCACTCAACGATCTATCACTAAGTACCTTATCAAGTCGGGAGAATCTCCAATTTCTTGGTGTACAAGAAATAACCCACAATTTCTCGCTCTTCGGTAGAAGGTGAATACCGAGCTATGGCTACTGCATTTTGTAAATTGAAATGGTTGTGCTCTCTTTTAGCCTTTCTTGGTGTCCTACGTCACCATCCAGTGACTCTCTTCTGTGACAGTCAAACTGCACTCCATATTGTTGCCAATCCAGATTTTAACAATATATATTTACAATGAAAAAGATCAAAGGAAGATATACGATAATGAACACATTATAATTTGCTATGACTAAGAACAAAAGTCAAGGTCAAAAATTGTCATTTGTTGGATTGTTTTTAACTAAGTTGAAGTTCACTCATAATCAATTTTATGCTACTGTTTCAAGAGTGAAAACCAAACAGGGTTAAAAATATTAGTTCTAAATGGTAAATAAAATTTGTGCAACCACACCAAAAATGTCGTATTCTCAGAAGGCTTTAGAAATTATAAAAGACTTTGAAGTGCTTATTTTTGAATTTATATATGACCATTTTCATTAACAATTATTAAATGCTAAATTATTTGTTTTACTTTGATTTTGATAGCTAAAGTGTTAAAGAAGCATTACATATATCTTTATAAATTCATTTAAAAATATTACTGATAGTTTCTAGAATCAACAAAAATTTTCTTTGACCCTGCAAGACTAAGATACTAGTTTAAAATTATCTTTAATACTAATCTTAACAAATTATCCCCACTATTGATCAAGCTCCCTTTCTTTTTGTCCATTTGTCCGGTAACTTAACACACTAGCCAAGTATATGCAGCACATATATATGGGAGAAACGCGGGTGCGTAGCCTTTTATTCCCAATTAGGGTTTATCGGGGGAACAATCGGTTACTCCATTTTGATCTGCGAGAAGTGCCTAATCTTTAAAAAGAAATTAGATTAGGGATTGGGGGCGGATGGGGAGCGGAGATGATCAGGCGTTTAAGGTCAACTTCAGCGGCGAAGGAGTGGCAAAGCTCAGGGAGAAAGTGCAGGAGAAGCTCATGGAGTTCATGGGTGACTACTCAGACGATACACTAGTGGTATGATATCAATGTCTGATTTCTCTAGGGGTTCTCATTAATTGTTCAGAAAATCAGACGTTAGGATAATTGTGGAGACTGAAATCTGGCTTTATGATATAACTCTGTAATATGGATCATTGATTCGATTTTGCAGCATTTTAATTTCAATGTGCGCTGCCATTTCCCACAATCCAAGTCAATCTGGAACCCTTACAGTTTCTGTTTTTAAAACCAATCTATCATTTCCAGCTCGTCAACAAATTCTTCACATTTGTTTATTGACCCATACCTTTGCATTTGTTTATTGACTAACTGCATTCTGAAGTTATCTGTTTTGAGTTGGAGTATTTAAATCATGTCATTGTTGGAAATTAAATGCAATCCTGTAAGGGGGCCTGAACTTCCATTACACCCATGTCTTGTGAAAGATATACTAAGGTATTTTGTATAACGGCTACACTAGGAAATTAAATGGTCTTCCGTCTTCCTGGCGGTGATAGTTCTGGATTCCCGTGGAACAGCCTTTTTCACATTGTGAAATTTTATAATTTTAGGATCTGTAAAATCACAAAGAGGCATAAAGCTTATAAGCCAGCGTCTGTATGAATGGCGTGATAATCATGAATACTACTTTTAATCTTGCCATTATTTTTCATTCTCACAAATTTGTTGATATTAGCAAAGGCAATTTAATGTACCAGGATTGTCTCTATACATGCTACGCTGGACTCAAATTTACATTTTAAGTTTTAGTCGAGGCATGAAATGAGCAAACTTTCTAATAAAGTTAAGAAGCGGTCTTGATGATATTTATTTGAATTTTTCTTTTGTAAGGATTGAAAGAAATCAAAAAATAATGTACTCTTTGCAACGTTGTCACTTGGACTTTATCACTTCAACCGTTTGATGTCACTGAAAGTTAGTAATTAAACCATTGTTCCCAGCATGAATTCCTGTTTATGGTTTGAGGATTAACATTAGTAATTAAAGATTTCTTTGTCACATAAAAGGCACAATGTTTGTGGATTTGACCAGTTTGTGATTTTTATTTTGTTTGTTTAGAGCATGTGAATCACGATTAACTCAGGCATCAGTTTGCCTAATATTGCGGTGTTAGAGTTGGTGCATAGATTTTAGTTTATGGGGAAGATGTGGATATGATTGTTGATGCATTTCCATTATGGCATTTATGAAGAGACCATTCTTTGGTTATAGTTATGTACTTGCCCAAATCTTATGCCTTTTGGAAACTGGTTTATTATTTCATATTTGAGATGCCAAAGTAGCATCAAAGCTATACGACATAACGCCTCAACTCTCTATCGTGTTCAGTAGAGTACCACAATACTATCACACTTTGAAGGCAACAATAAAGCTACAATAATCCCAACTTCATTGAGGTTTGGGGGTCAAGATGTGTGCAACCTTACCTTGTTACCTAAATGCCATTTCAGTTACACTTTCGATGCATTGCTGCATTTACTACCCAAAACTTCATAGGAAGTAAGAAGCAAGGGAAGTTTGATGTGCTTTTTTTATTTCGTCTCTGTAAATTTTGGTACCTTATTTTTTCATTGATATTGAACACCATGACTACTTGCATCACTGACTTAATCACTCTTTGTTACATCTTTAAAGTGTGAACCTTAACCATCTCAACACTAAGCATTGTGATGAAAGTTGTAAAATGAAGAGTATAAACTTGAACAAATGTATTGGATGACAAAATTAAACATTGCCTGAAAAGTTGAATTTGGATGGATATGTTGCCAATTTCCTGTAAGGTTTAACATTGCTGATATTGGTAGTGATGAAAACCTACTTGGATTGCATGCCAAATGCTAAGTTGTTTTATTTTACATTATAAACCAAACAACCCATTTCTTATATCAAAAATTTGAATTGCTTGATCAAATAGATCGTCAAATTGGTGCGGTGTTCACCATTTATCTTCCTGTATTTTTTTAAGAAAACAAGAAGTGCTGTTATTGTAGACAATAAAAGTGTAGGATATTCGAATGTTCCACTGGTTGTTGGTATTGGATGAGGTGTAGTAAAGTTTTCCATGCAACATGCATTTCCAGGAATACGTCATGGTCTTGCTACGAAATGGTAGGAACAAAGGCGAAGCAAAAAATGAATTGGATGTTTTCCTGGGCGATGACAGCGAATCTTTTGTTTCTTGGTAATTTGACTTAAGTTTTTTTCAAAATGATATATCCAGTGCTTTATGTTGAGCATCATCATTAAGGTTTCTCAGTATTGATTGTGTTACCTTGTTAAGGCTATGGGATCATCTTGGTTCAAACTTAAATCTGTATGTGCAACAACAAAAAGCCCCTCCCGACAGAGTGACCCAAACAAGGCCTCTAAGTGTGGAGCATGCAGGGAAGAATGAAATGCACCATGTGAAATATGGATCTGATCAAGTGAAACCTGACGTGACTAGACCCCGGCACAAAAGGGAATGGAAGGGGTTGCTCAGAGATACAGAAGAACACCAAGCTATTGTGGTGGACACTACTTGTCCAGAGGTGGGAAATCAGCCTAAACTTTCTTCTACAGTGCACTCTGCATCTCCCGAGCTAGAAACTCAGAGGAAAAGAGGTCGGTCTGAAGATGCTTCAACAAAGAAGGTATATTTATTGAGATGTATGTATTTTAGAAACTGCTTTTGATTCATTTTGTGGCATATAAGGTCTTATGGCCATGGGTGTTATACTATCATGTGCCAGTGTGTACAAATTGGCTTTAGCTGCAGCACTTTACGCTCCCTTATGGTGTACACCACTCAGGTCAAGGGGAAAAATGTAAAATTGCACATATTAAGGGCTGGGACAAGTGACAACCAATAAGACTAAACTGATCCCTACTCGGCCTGGAGCTGATTATTACTTGCTCATATTATCTTCACATTGTGATAATGACTAGAAATATGAATTTTGATTTTTTACTCACTCTATCCCAATTTAAACTGTTCGTTTCGGGTTACGGGGTTTGACTGAAGTTATTTTCAATTCAATTTTTATGAGAACCGGGGTAGAATTAAAAAGTAAAATTTACATAATTTAAACTGTATCAAAAGTTCTACAAAACAAGTGGTGACATGAGTATATTAATCATATGGCAAACAAAAATTGTTAAAAAAAGTGAATAAAGTTTTGCCCTATGAATAGTAAACGCAATTTAATTTGGGATGGAGGGAGTGTAATATAGTAACACAAGCATGTGGCCAATAATGGAACAAGATGTGTTTGGTCTATGTTACATGAATGAAATCAGAATACAACTTTAACATTGCTAAGTTGTCTTGTAACTACACTATAGAAATACAAGTATGTTTTCTCATAGTTAACTTAAAACCTTGCAAATAAGACATATTCGTGTAAAACATCATCAAAATATGAACACATTGAGGGAATTCTAAATTAGTATGCACTTATGTTAACGTATCGTGTGAAGTGATTTGGAGAAGCCTGGAGGTTAGAGTTGATCCAATGCATAACTAACTTGTGCTTGTATTTTGCTTGTTTTACTCATTATACTATTTGAACTGTCTTCCCAGTTATTAAAATGCTATTATGGTGCCACAATGCTTTTATTTACCTGATTTGTGTTGATGTATGAGGAATTAAACTTTGGTATACAAAACAAATTATTTTTCCTCCGCAAAGTATGCTGATTTGACATTAATATTTTTTTATAGAGAGAATCAACTTCCCAGGCAAATATTGCTGCTCCACGAAGGTTGCTGCAATTTGCAGTGCGAGATGCACTGGCTACTTCTAGGCAATCCAATTTAGTTGCTGAACCATCATTGAAACGCCTTCGTTCTGTGGTTTCTACATCCATGGGGGAATCAACTGAAGATCATCCACTTAGACTGCGATCTGTTGCAAGATTAGCAAATCCCGAGGCCACTACTATTAGAACCATTGTTGAAGCTGCAAAGGATATAAAAAAAGTTAGATCCTCATCTAATGTGTTTGATAGGCTTGGTAGTGTCCCTAATACATTCGGTACTAGAGACCAACTTGAGTTGATGGATGATGTTTCTGAAGATGAAAAGTTTGTTGATGTAGCAGAAGTTCCCTCAACTTACCATCACCAAAGAAGTGATTATAGTGAGCAGTATGCTGCAAAATTGCAAAGTGACACATGGATGGATCCTATCCATGATGACACCAGTTTTATGGGTCTAAGGGCTGTGGATGCTTCTCAGAGGCGCTCATACGCTGGAATCAACTCTGAGAGCCCGCTGTTGGTTGAACACATTGCGGGTGATAGTTCTGATGGAATAGTGCAGAAGTCGCTTGTGGATCAAGATCAGCCTACACCTACACATTATGCTTCTCGTACTTTACCCTTAAATACGAATACTTGGAAATCACCTAAATACCAGGAGGCTAGGAATGCATTGGAGACGGGCTATAGTAAATCTACACATAGTAGTGAGATGATGGGAACCAAGCCCATCACGCCACTTGTGAACGAGAACAGTGATCCTGTAGCTGTTAATAATGGAAATGTAGGATGCCTATTTTCTCTCAAATATGCATATGCTCATAGACCACAATAACATCTTTGTGCTTTTGTTCAAGACATCTCACATGTTCATTTCATTGTTTCAGGCCAAATCTAGTGCAGATACAGAAGCAGCATCCCAAAAGATACTGTCTGTTGTTCCTGGTTAGCCTGGCTTGATACCTTGTTTCTGAGTTATAAATTTACCATTCATTCATTCCCCTTATACAGCTGTATGATTTTAGCGTTTTAGGTGGTCCTAAATTGAGCGGCCTAATGTGGTGAAACAATGTGCCCTTAAGCCCCTTATATTTATACTCCCTAAACTGCTTTCTTTGAATTTCATAAAGTTTTAAAATAAGTGTTGAAACTAAAAAGTGTGGTTTAAAGCTTGAAATTTGTTTAGAAGTGAGAGAATTGTTGTGAGTTTCATATTCCTTTCCTTGAAAGGAAATGCGGGAAATGTGATGCTTTTTTGGGAAAGTGAGAAGCAAAGTTTTTTTTTAGATGGATCTCATTACAAATTTTTTATTACAAATCAAGTGAGCAAGTGCACAACCAACTACACTACAAGTCTGCAACTCAATTCAACAATTATGTTGGGCTATATAAAAAAGTATACTATTTTATGGAATCATTTAAAGTTAGTGGGATAACTTTTTTTATGGATCTATTTATATAATTTTTAAATGAGAGGTCCTTGTCTGAGAGGTGCCTTGTGTGGCAGCACTGCATTGGCCTCTCCAGGGCCACCTCTGTAATTTTTACGCTATTTCAGTTTTATAGTGCAACAATAATTGGTACTATTTCTCAGCTGTAACTCCTATATGCATATATCTTGGTGCAGGCTTATATCCCACTGGTACACATACAGAGGATTCTGATTCCAGGACAATATTTGTCAATAACGTAAATACTCAAACCTCTATGGGAAGGCTTGCATGTTGCATCTGTGTTACTGTATTCCTAATATGTTTTTTTATCGCCCAAATGGATATCAGGTTCATTTCGCTGCTACAAAGGACAGTCTCTCGCGGCATTTCAATAAATTTGGAGATGTGCTCAAGGTGATTATTTTAACTGATGCAGGAACTGGTCAACCTAAAGGGTAATGCACTTTTTCCCCTCACAATTTTTACGTTCTTACACACTGCTGTCTTAACTTGTTGCATGAACAGGTCAGCCTATATAGAGTTCATGAGAAAAGAATCTGTGGAGCATGCTTTATCACTTGATGGAACCTCATTCATGTCACGTCTTCTCAAGGTATGTTTTCAAAAGATTTGTTTCTTAATGGAGTATTGAAGCTAACATTATCCCCTTAATCGTGATTGGGGTTTGACGTCATTGCCTTGAAATTTGTTGTTCTCTAATTTAATTGATCTTGTAAGTTCATGCAAAAAAGGCAGTGCCAAAGATTTAAAGTGCATTTGGTTTTAACTGGTTTTGGTTTAATTTGAGTTGATTTAATACGGTGTGTGAAAAACATTACCATGCTAAAACCAAACCATATGTGGTTTGGTTTGGGTTCGGGTTATTTTTATCGGTCTAGTTAGGTCAAACCAAACCAAATGCCAGCTCTCGCCCCTTGCTCCTGCAAGGACTTTGCAAGCTCAATACAATTTCCACAGAAACTCATATAAGAGGTGATGTTCTAGGTTGCCAAGTCCACTCTTAATTGCTTAACCTGCATATTGAATGGGCTGCTTTACACTCACCAGAGTTTTTTGGTCTCTATGATGAATGTGACTGAATCGTCGCAATCTGCTTCCTGTTATGTTATCAGTAATGGCACGACCCCTGCCCACACAAGCAGCTCAACTGGTCTCAGAGGTGGAATTTGGAACAAGAGAGTGAAGAGACCAAGGATTGAGCCTTACCAGCGGCAGTGTGGGATAAACCTCTCAAAAAATGAGGGGGGCTCCTTGTTCGTAGTGAGCACTGGTGCCTCTGTTTCCGGTTGAGTCACCATGATTAACCTTCTCTCACAGTCCCGTGAGGCAGGGGGTGAGGGGTGCCCGGGGTGAGCGATTTCACCTTTTGGAACAAGTAATGGCACGATCCATTTCTGCAACATCTAGCTTCTGTTCAAGAAAGATGGGAAGAAAGAAACATTCGTTCTATTACGATTATAAGGGGTCCAAGTGCTGGTGACAAGACCACTGCTACTATAAGTAAGTCCCCACCGTCGGCGGAGGGGAGAAAATGATCTCGGTGGAGCTTCAAAAAATTTTTGCCGGTGGAGGAGTGAACTGCAATGAGATGAGTCGCTGGAGCTGAAAGTGTGGAAACAGCCATTGAAATTGGAATAGACAAGGGAGGAGATCAGTGTTTGTGGGGGGATAGTTTTGCGTGCAGATTATTGGTTTATTTTAACTACCTTCTCCTGTGCAAATGTGTCCATTTTTTCCCAATTATAACTTATACTCCGTTCACCGCAACATCTAGCTTCTGTCCACATGCCGTCTCCATAGCTCAATACTCAACCTTATGTTATTATATAGGGACAGATTACTAATAGTTGAAAATGAAGCATTTGGCTGGAAATCAGAAACATGCTTTTAACAGTAAAACACACTTTTCATGCTTAAATGAGAAAGCGCACATAATAAAGGCAGTAAGGCAGTTATACCATAAATTATCCAAAACATGCTCTTACTCGGGATGCCCTTTCTTAGGAAAGAGGAAAGAATAGTGAAATGAAATTACAAAACCATGATCATTGTTATTTACACTTCCACAGAAAATAGTAAAATACCATATGAGACGGGTAGACATGTAGAGTGATCTGGTTTATTCCTTCATTCTTTTTAATGCCATGTTCTGTTTTTTTCATCGTAACTTTAGAAATAAATTTGCCCATGACTGTGTAAAGGCATGCAACAGCTTTTATGAGTTGTATCTGAACCCTTTCGTTAGTGAGTTATATGATTAATTGAAATGTGGCAGGTTGTGAGGAAAAGCTCTGCGCCTCCTGAAGTATCTGCTGCACCTTCCATGCCATCATGGCCGCGGGTTTTGAGAGGGGCGCCATATAATTTTGGCCGGAGCCCTTTCCCTTTTAGGGGTGCCATACAAAGTCCATATAGGTCTCCCAGCCCTGCACTGAAGCCCGGTGCAAGGAGCATGCAATGGAAACGCGGTGCTCAGTCAACTCCAAATCAATCTGCACCTGCCTCTGGCAGTCCCTCTTTTGCCCCTCGGAGCATGACATATGTTCGCACTGAACAGAGAACAAATGGAACTTCTGATGCTGCTGTGTAGTTGACCATGCCATTGACTTCCAATCTGGGAAAGCTCAAAACCCCGACACACAGTGCTCCCTGGCACTGTGTGGATTATGTTTTCTCGCTCGGTAAGTGACATCAGCATTCGCACGGGAAATATTGAATGGATGAAGGAAGGAAGGTAGGGAGGGTATAACCGTCTTTTGGTTCTTAAGACATGCTGGGGTGGGAGTCACCTCCACTTGTTTATACATAAATATATATGATGGGATAGCGCTCACTTGCTCTTTTTATCATGTAGTTGCTAATTCTCTTATGTACCCTCTTGTTTCTTCTTTGGTCATATGTGAATAGGAGGAGAGGCCAGTGGATTTTTTTTCTTCTTTCAATCCATTTTCATTTTGATTTTTCTGAGCTATTGAAAAGGAAAAAAAGAGGGTAGTTGTGAGAGGAAATAGAGAAGCTGAGGCATGGCTTGTTTGCAAGTGATGTCATTTTTACTGGTCTAAATATTTATTATTTTCCCCCCTACTTTTGGTCACATGAAGATTATGCAATTTCCATTTGTTTTGGACTAGTTTCTGCTGCACTGTCATTATAATGTGTTATAAATATGTTGGAATGCACGTCTATTAACTGCTTTAATATCATTAGAAGTTGTTATAAATCTTTGTATATGATTCAAGATTTGTTTGCTGAAGCAAGACTTGTGACCTAACCAGTTTTAATCACTTGTTCAATGTTATAGTTCGATTTGTAATAATTAACAAACTCTTGCCATATTGTTGATATTTTCAGTATCACTTCTATTTAGAAAATTAATGATCACGTGCAATGTAACACTCGAGCAAATAATTTTTATGCGCGAGGAGAAATGTTAAAGTAAAAACAAACTTTTGTTGACATGTAAGTAAATTTTGTTTACATTTTTCGCAGAGTATGATGTATATTTGGAGCGACAAGAGCTAACTAGATGTCATCCCGATAACTCGTTTATGTTTTTAAAGCTGCTTATTTTCACAAAAATGCTTCCAAAATGTTGTTGTATCGCTAGACTCGCATAGACACCCTATTTAGGCCCTGTTGTGATAGTACAAATTATCTCTTGATGGTATTCTTATGAAATACTCTCTTCCAAAATAAACTTTTGACTACCTAATTAGGCCTAAATATATCAAAATATGACGTTTAATATTTTTATATCAAAATAAATCTTATAATGTTAACTAATACTCCACTAATAAATTCATAATGCAAAAAGGAAAAAAAATAGCACTATAAAATGCCAACTTACAAAACCATTGCGGGCATTTCATAGTGTAACCACTACTCCTTCCCTCTGTTAGTGCTCTTTTTGTTTGTCCAGAGAAAATTTTCTCTTAGCTTTTTTCACATTTAAAAATACCATAACTACGGAGTAGTTAACTACCTTATTTTATTAATTACACCTAACCACTTCATTTAATATATTCCACCCACTTTCATTAATAATATTTTGGTAAATTTCCACCTTTTTAACTATCTTTAAAAAGCACAAAAAAGTTAATTTGAAAAAATCTATTATGGATGAAAGGAGTATTATTTAAGGAATAAAAATATGATCGAGAAGTCGTAGATTTTTGTTTAAAGTAAATATTGAGGGAGTATTTATTATGTGGGCATTTTTTAAAAATTGCTCGACGTTGAAAGTATTCCTAAATTCCCACCATTTGAACCATTCCTAAATAAGTTACCCGCAAATTTTAACTATATGTTTACTACTCATAATTTTGTTCCATAGCTTTATTTATGTTAATTGTTATGCCACCTACTAGCTATTTTATAAAACATTTGATCTAGGTTCTAAATGTGTAATTTTTTTTAACTTTACACTAAATTCCAATCAATTGAAATAATTATATCTCCTCAATGAGTTTGTCCAGTTTGTTTTTTTAATTGAACTTACTAGCTAGACAAATTTTGATCACTAACTAAATACAAATTATATTACTCCCTCCGTCGCAATTTAAATCACCTGTTCCACTTTATGATGTTTGATTGAAGTTATTTTTAAATTATTTTATATGAAAAACAGTGTAGATTTAAAAAATAAAAATTACATTTTTTAAACTTGCGTGGTGACAAGACTATACGGAGTATTATTTTGTGAAATGATCGACTAACGAAAATAAGGAAAGAAAGTGAATAAAATTTGACTTTGTAAATAGTAAACAAATAATTTAATTTGGAACGGAAGTAGTATAATTTTGGTACAGAAAAGATATGCTCCGTAATGATTTGACCTCCTATTTTCAAAAGTCTTTTATGTAATTTTTTAATATATAAATTTTATTTTTAAATTTCATACCAATTCTAAATTTAAAATAAATTTAGCCAAATATCATGAACCAAAATACACAGTTTAATTTAGGACGGAGGTGTAATATTCAAAATAGTTTCTATTTAATTTAGAATTAAAATTTGTTCAATTTAATGTTAAAAAGTCAAACTTGATATACTAATTGGGACGAGAGATAAAATACGGAGCAATAAAAGTATCAACCAAATATCATAAGTGAAATTTGTACTAAATAGGACTAAAACATAATGACTTTTCTAATCTAGGACTTAAACTTTTTTATTTCCTAAATAGGACTTAATAATGTTTTCGTGGAAGGAATAATGCCCAGCAATGATAGACATTACTTGAATAATGACTAAAGAATAATGAGTAAAGGTCCTACATTCGGAAATAAAAAGATATGATCCTATTTTGAGAAAGTCATTATGTTTTAGTCCTATTTAGGTAAATTACTCATATCATAAATGTTAAATTCAAATCTGTTTTATTTTTAAATTCCACACCAATTAATTAAAAGAATATCAATACAATTGGGATAATAATACTCGTAACAACATAAAAACAATATCATAGAAAATACTCCATTAATATGCATGGCTTGGCCGGATGCATGCATGCACAGTTTTCGAAAACCACCGTACGTACGAATTATTATTACGGAGTATTATATTAGTGCATGTAGACGGCGGCGAAGAAGGACAATAGAGAAGCGCCGACCAACGATCCGACGGCGGGGAAGGCGGAGACAATGGCATTGCTGATCGGCGACGGAGCCTGGGCGGCGGCGGGGACGGGACTGCCTCCGGCCACCTCATCAGCCAAGGCCATGCTGAAGGAGGCGGCGGCGGCCAGGGCGGCGGCGCAGGCGATCTTCTTCATCTCCATTGTGAAGGAATTATATAATAAGGAAGGCTAAAATCGGCAACAACCTCAGATTAATTACCGAGGAAAACCTTTCTTTCTTATTTATATATTTTTGTTTTTTTTATTTCCTTATGTTTTATGGATATCAATGAGGGCTTTATATATGGATAAATCTATCCCTTTGGGCTATTTTGGGAAATTTATTATTATTTGAAGCATGGTATTATCTTGTGGGGGAGGGAGGAATTATCTCATTTTTTGTGGGAGGAGTGATTTTAGGGAACATACTTTTTCATAGAGTCCACAAGCAAATTATTTAATGGTTACGAATTCTTGACAATATCCTCAACTAAAATTCAAGCTAAGATACTTTCCAATTTATAAAAGAAAAGGTTGAGAGTGATACTATTCACTAGTTCCCAAATGTTGATGGTAGATTGGTCCATATAAGATCTCTAAATTGGTCCATTTAAGATAAGTTTTAGATAAGATAAATTACTTAGCTTCATAATCTTGATATCATCATTCACCTCATACTTTGTAAGGACACGCACATATAAAAATTATTGATGCGGTACACAAATTTATTATTTATGTATCTGTACAAAACATGAGGTCAATATATAGTGGTGTCAAAATTGTGGACTTACCCTTACTTCTCATTGTCAAAATCTGTTTAAATAGGTAATGAGTTAGGATTGTCATTGTATATACTATGGATATTAAGATACGAGTATATACTATATATTTATGATAATTAAATACTCAATTTGATTTAATCTTTACATTTCTCTTTTCAAAGTCTTCAATAGAACACTTTGACCATTAGTATCGATATTCATAAATAGTTCCCCTCGATCTTTCTATTTTTGTATCGACACTATATATTAGTATCGACACTTTGACCGGAGTATATTTTATATTTCCCCTGTTTAAAAAAATAGTTCCACCTCGATCTTTCTATTTTTGTATATCACACAAAATGCTTCTACCCCAAAGTGTGCAGTGTAGATTGGTCCATATAAGATCTCTAAATTGGTCCATTTAAGATAAGTTTTAGATAAGATAAATTACTTCATAATCTTGATATCATCATTCACCTCATACTTTGTAAGGACACGCACACTTTGGGGCAGGCTGCAGTGTACGTCAAAAATATCCCAAAGTTATTCTATCCGCAATAAAGGAGAAATGTGTTATATTCTGGACATTTTAGGTAGGAATAGAAGTATTTTGTGGAATGCGTAAAAAATGAAAGTTGCGTTGAAACATTTTTTCAAAGGGAATGAGGAAAATTTTAATTTCTCAAAACTACGTACATTTCAAAAGAAAATTATTGATATTATATTTATATAAAAACATAATGTATTTTTCACAAATTGAGATCAAAATTTATAAACTTCGACCAAGATTAGTAAAATGGGAATATTTAATCCTTACGGAGGAAGTAAATATTTTTCGAGTGATAAAATGATTTTAAATATTTCAAAAGTAAACTATTTTAATCCTTTGGATCTATCTAAGCGGCCTAGACCAATAAAATTTGGAGTACACAAAAATTGTACCTTACTTTCTACACCAAGTATGAGAGACACACAAAGAAAACTAATGTCCATGCATTGTTTGGTATCTAATTTTGTTTTTTAATAGCAAAGAATATGTGAATTTGGAATTGATAATGCAAAAAATAAATTGGAGTTAGAGATCAAAATTTAATTTCATCTAATTTAATTTCATAGAATTTTAAAATATACTACCTCCGTCCCAGAATATTTGTCTACTTTCATTTTTACAACCTATCCAATACACTTCCATTTTATCTTGTAATTTGTATATTAAAAAATTATAGAAATTATATATTAATAATCTATATGTTAAGACAAATCAAACAAGATCACACATGAATATATTTAGGCTTACACATTGAGAGAATTTGATGAGTCAAAGTGCTTTGATGAACAGTTCCAAAAGTCAAAACTGGACGAATACTCCGGGACGAGGAGAGTAGCTTTTAAGTGTAATTAGCATTATTTCTAATTAGTTGAAATAGCACATCTACTTCATACTCAATATCATAATCTTGCTTTTTTCATGCCCTAAGTTGTGTCTATAAATATTTCATCTCTAATTCTTAAATTTCTTAGGAATATAATATATACTCCGTATATAATTATCATAACAAATTAAATGTATTAATTATTTTAAGGATTATTTTCGAAATAAAATTTTTTATAGTAATGACTTAACAAAAAAACAAGAAAGATGAAAAATAGAAGTCACTTATTTTGCAGGAACTAAAAACATATTTAACCATAGAATATTTGATGTAATTTTTGAATACATAAATTATAGTTTTAAATTTACACAAATTTTTATATAAACAGATTGAAAACAA